AACTCTTTTTTCCTTTTTAAAAATCTGTGCCGATTTCATTATTGATAAGTGGAAACTCAGAGTTATTTTCATTTGTATTTCTCTTATTATTAAGTGATTTGAAACATTCTTTTACTTATTGAAAAGAAGTAAGGATCAAAGGAACCTAGAAGGACTATATCTCAAAATATATATACCACAAATCTTCATCAAAGACATTTGGTACTAGTTAAAGAATAGAGAAGTCAATTAGTGGAATCAATTATATATAAAAACATACAAAAGCAAATAATCATAGTAGCCTAGTGTTTGAAAAAACCCAAAGAAAGACCCCAGCTATCTGGATAAGAAATTGCTATTCCACAAAACTATTGGGAAAACTAGAAAGCAGTCTCACAAAAATTAGAGTAAGATTGCACACCATATACCAAGATTTAAAACATTTTTTCTCATAGTTATTGATGGCTTTGAATTCTTCCCTCAATAAAATTCCTGTTCATATCTTTTAACTGTTTATTTCCTCAGGAATGACTCTCAGTCTTATATATTTGAATCAGATACCTACGTTTCTTGGATATTATACCTTTATCAGAGAAACCTGCCATAAAGATTTTTTCCTACTTAACTTTCTCTTGATTTAACTGTGCCGATTTTGTTTCTGCAAAAGCTTTTAAATTTTACGTAGTCAGGATTGTCCATTTTATCTTCTTTGATTTTTTCTATCCCTTTTCTCTCTATCCATAATTGTGAAAAGTATCTCCTTCTTTGCTCCTCTATTTTATCTATGATGTAACTTTTTATATCTTGCTCATTAATACCTTTGGAGCTTATTGTCATATATAGTGTGAGATCTTGGTCAAAACTTAATTTTGTCCAGGTGTTTTCCCAGTAGTTTTTGTGAAATAGTGAGTCTTTATCTCAGTAGTTATGGTTTTTGGGTTTTTCAAACACTGTACTATGTTTGTTTGCTTCTGTGTGTTGTCTATCTAATCTGTTTCACTGATTGACATTTTTAGCCAGCATCAAATGATTTTGATGATTAGGTTTTTGCAGTATAGTTTGAGATCTGTTATTGCTCGGCCCCTTCCCTTCTCACTTTTTTATTTCCCTTGAGAATTTTGATTTTTTGTACATCAAGATGAATTTTATTATTTTTTTTAGCTTTCTAAAGTAACCCATTGGTAGTTTGATTGGTATGCCACTGACTAAGCAAATTAATTTATGTAGTATTATCATTTTTTATATTTTGAAATGGCTTAAACACGAGAAGTTAATATCTATGATTATCTTGGTTTGTCTTTTTTCCTGCGAAGTGTTTTATAGTTGTATGTTTTGAGTGTGTGGTGTTAGGTGGACTTCCAAGTACTTTATGGAATATATAATTATTGTAAATGTACTTTCACTTTCTATTTCTTCATGCTGGGTTTTGTTGGTAATGTACAACAAAGCTGATGATATATGGGGGTTTATTTTATATCTTGCTACTTTGCTGGTGATTTTTTAAATTTATTTTTTAGTTGAATTTCTAGGTTTCTCTAAGTAGACAATCATATCATCTGGGAAAGTGATAATCTTGTTATCACTTTACCTTTGCTTATTCCCTCAATTTATTTTTCTTAATTACTTCTATTGCTAGCATTTATAAAACTGTATTAAATAATAGTGGTGACAATGGATTTGATTTACTCTTGATATTATTTGAAAGACCTCTATCCTGTCTCCATTACATAAAATGCTGATTCTTGATTTTAGATAGATATTATTTACTACATTAAGGAAAATTCCCTTTATTCTTATGCTTTTTAGTGTTTTTAACAGAAAGGTTATTGTTAGGGATCTGTAAGGATGTAGAGGGCCACAGGCTGTTCATGAGGTCTCACTGATGGGCGGAGGCCCCTCTCGGGTGCTGATCTATAAGCAAAGGTCTCCTGGTTCAGTGCTCCGTTCTATTGATCTTTAACAACTTTTAACTCCCCTAGTTATTGTATGGTCATTAGTAGTTTATCTGTGATTGGAGTCAGATAAGTGCACAGGATGTGCATGCACTGTCCTTAGGAGAGCACGAGCTCTACGTCATCGTGACTTGAGAAGAAGTTCCTGTTACTTTACTACTTAAGTGAATGCTTTGTTAAAATTAAACAGGGTTGCTTCCAAACAAACAAACAAACAAATAAATGGAGTTGCTTCCATCTTGTCTCCCGCTTCATCAATGAGCATTCGAGATAGAAGGTTAAACTGGCCTTATCCCTTCAGAGTTAGTATAGGATCCTTGCTCTTGTGGTGAGCTGAGTTAGCTGTGCACAACAGGTTATATTTTATCAAAACTTTTTTCTTCATCTATTGATATAACTATGTATTTTTGTTATTGCTATAATATCCATTTTGTTTATTATTTTCTTCATATTGAACCAACTCTGAAGTTCTAACATGAATCTAACCTGATTAAAGTCTATAATATTAATATGGCAATGTAACTTTTGCTAATTTTGCATCAGTATTTGTTAGGGATGTTAGTCTATATTTTCCTTTATCTGTTTTGTGTTTCCATGTTTTAGGTTTCAATACCATTTTTCTATCATAGAAGAAATGTGATAGGATTCCCTCTTTCATATTTTGTCAAATAGTTTGTATAATATTGGTTTTAATAATTATTTGAACGTTTCAGGCAATTCGCTTTAAATTCATGTGGTTCTGGTGTATTGGGCAGGGGGCAGGGAGTGTTCATTTGTGGCTTATTCAATTTCTTTTTCTGAGTTTGCTTATTTAAATTCCTTAATTCTTATTTTGCTAATCAGTTTATTTAAAATTTTCATAAATATTAATTCATTTAAATTTTCAATTTTGTTGAATTTTGTTTGGGTTTTTTTTGGTTATATAATTTTGTTGTGTATAATTGGCTAAATGGTTTATTCCTATTTCCTTTAATGTTTTGTAAATTCTCACTTTTAATTTTTTGACTTTGGCAATTTAGTATTTATCTTTTTAAAATTATATTATTTAATGCTTTATTTTATTCATTTTTCAAACATATCTTTTTTTATCAATTAATTGTTTTGCATTCAGTTTTGTTTATCTCTTATTTGATATTTAGAATTTATATTCTGATTTTTTTTAGAGTTGTCTGATTTATTTCTTTTCTAGTTTTTTTTATTGATCCCTTTTGTCTTTTGTATTGATGCGAGTGATTAGAAATATAAAATTTTCCTTAGTGATTGTGCCACCCAAAATCTGTGGTATATTGTATCATTGTCATTTTCTTTGATAAAATAATTATTTCTGCGATTAGTTCTTCAACCCTCTAATTCTTTAGGATAAAATTATTTAGACTCCCCTCAAATTTGAATCCTTTCCTCAAAGGCTCCTTATTAATTATAATTTTATTGACTTGAGTTGAGCATGGGATATGTTTTATATTTCTCCTTTTCTGCATTTGTTTGTTAGTTTTTTATGCCCTAGCATATGGTCAGTTTTTGTTATAGTGCCATGTCCAGCTGAAAATCTGTATGTTCCTTTCTGTTCCTGTTCACTATTTCCAGAGATTGGTGATATCTCACTTTTCCAAAATTCTATTCAAGTCTTTAACTTCTTTCTTATTTATCTTTTTTGTTAGATTCATCTAGGTTTGAAAGGGACACATTGAGGTCCCCAACTACTGTAATTTACTGACTGCTCCTTGCAGTTTGACAGGCTTTTCCTTCAAATAGTTAGAAGTTATACCATACAATGCATAAATATTAAGTATGGATGTTATTCTGTGTGATGCCTTTAAGCTTAATGTAGTTCATTTGTTTATTTCTTTTAAAAACATTTATTTTTATTGTTGTCTTATTTGGGATAACAATGGCTATTGCTTCTTTTAAAAATTTGCCTAAATCATAATAAATTCTAAGCTAGAACCTCATTTTGACTGTCTGTGAAACTTTGTTTCAAGTATGTTTCTTATAAATAACATATTGCTGGATTTTGCTTTCTAATTATTTTTTCTTCCTTTCTCTTACTTATGGGTAAGTTCATCCCTTTCATGGTTATGGTTATAATGGTTAATTGTATATTTCCCTTGATTACATCTTGTACTTTTTCTTTTCTTTGCCTTTCCTCCCACAATTTCTGTCTTTACTAGGAAAGAGGTAGTGAATGAAAAGAAATGTAATACTGTTAATTTATAATAGAAGTGATCTCTCAATTGATCTAATTGAGCTGGGTTCCTCTCCAATCTGTCATGTTAGCATCTTAACCAGAAATTTGCTCCCAGAGTAGATCAGTCTGTCTATACAACAGTCTCTGATCTCATTATCTCCAACATTTCCTTCAATTAGGCACTGATACTTCTTATCTCACAGCTAACTCCTTGGGCCAGGACCTGTGTCCCCCAGATTGATTGAACTGCCCTTTTTGGTAGATAATAAGACTAGTAGCTCAGTGATACATTAATGCACCCAGCTTGCTTTAGGAAAGCTAGCCACCCATCTGTGGGTGTTTGTGTTTCAGTGGGGGATCTCAAGGCAATAAGCTTAATCATATATAATTTGGAGGTCACTTAGTACCTTTGGAATTTCAGTTACATGAATTCCCTGTTTCTTTATCCTTTTCATATCATATTACTGTAGGATAGCAGCTTGCTTGGAATATTCTTTTTTTTTTTTTTTGGTGAGGCGGTGGGGTTAAGTGACTTGCTCAGGGGTCACATAGCTAGTAAGTGTTATGTGTCTGAGGCCAGATTTGAACTCAGGTCCTCCTGAATCCAGGGCCAGTGCTCTATCCACTACACCACCTAGCTGCCCTGTTGCTTGAAATACTCTAGGGCCAGTAATATGTGAGTATTATTTCATTCTGAGTAGAGAAACAAAAGTATATAAATGTTTCTGTTGACTTAAGATTTTAGATGTGTAATATCCTGCAGTGTGTTGTGGCTCTCTGAGGAAATCAATTTCAACAAGTAATTATTAAGCATCTGTTATGTGCAAGCTACTATGTTAGGCATTATATTTGAAAGTTTTTCATTTTTTTCTTTTCACATATAGATGAAAATATACTTACTGTGATACCTACATCCATGCTGACACCTGAAGAAAAGTGGAGACAAAAAGGTATGCACTTTAAAAAAATGAATGAATATCCTAAGATAAGAAAGTTCAAGCTTATGTTAACCTTAGGGTAAATTGCTTGATGAGCCCCTTCTAATAAAGTAAATTATCTTTTCTGCAATGGGGAGTCGTTTCTGTGTGTCACATGACCTTTTCTAAAGGAAGGCTCTTGTTCAAAAATAAACCTTTCAGAGTTCCTTTTTTCCCTCTTAGATACTTGGTAGATCTTTTGCTTCTTGATAACCTGTAGAAATGCTGCCTATAATTGCAGCTACTGGACTAAGTTATTGAAGAAGGCTGTGTAAAGTACCCTCAAAATACAATCAGGACTCATATCTTAAAGGAAAAACAGTCTTCCATGAACTATCTTGTCTGATTTTTTTTTCCTCCTCCTTCTTGGCATCCCCTTTAGGGCTTGTGTACATAGTTTATCCTACATAAAATTATTATGACTAATGCCTATGGTCACAACTTTTAGACCACCTTAGAGAAAACCAGACCAACTGAGGTTCTGTCTGTCTGTTCTTTCTTTCCACCTCCCTGTCTATCTATCTGTCTCTATTTATTTATTGAAGGAGTGGAATGGAATTCTCCATGGGCAAAATACTTACTTTAAATAAAACATTCCATGGAGTACCAAAACATTTTCTTGTACAAACTTCTTGCTAAATTCATACTTACATAAAGTAGAGCCTACGGGAGAGCAGGCTTGCTACTCTCTTCCATGCTACAGCTGTCTTTTTATTCTTTCCTTACTCTCTCCTATAGATCATTTCCCACAGTCCCCTTGTTACCATCTCTATGCTGCTGTTCTAGATATAATGTTGTGTTTGGAATAAGACCTAGATTTGAATCCCATCTCTAACACTGGTTGTGAAACTATGGGCAAGTCACTTAAGTTTCCTTATGTGTAAAATGGGGAAAATAATAATACCTTTAATATTTACCTCACAAGATTGATCTGAGGTTCAAATAATATATGTAAAGAGCATTGCAAACTTTAAAGTGCTATATAATTATCCATAGTAGTTCATACACTCATGAATATTAATCATTGTTGTTACTATTTTTCATTATCATTTCTTATAGAGAGGCAGTATGGAGTAGTGGACAGAGCCAGTCTCAGAGATAGGGATACCTGGGTTCCAATCCAATATGGGATACATATTGGCTGTGTGACCCTGGGCAATGCACTTAACTTTCTCAGTGTCCTAGGCTGCTGACTCTCAAAGAGTGTAAGTTGGAGATTTGCATTTGTAGAGGGAGTTTCCTCACCTAAAAACTCTCTATATCAGTGATATCATGGGTCTGCACAAATTGAAGATTGTGTATGTTTTATGTGTGTAGTCAGACTGAGACTGTGGTGTGTATAGGTGCACTTCAACCCATCTTATTGGCAAGCTCCATAAGACCCAAGGCAGGAGGGATGAAAAGGTCTTGCCAACTGATCTAGGATCCTGTATTTCCCTGAGCCAAACCCCTCCAAAGCAGTGAGAATTCCAGTGCTTTTTAGGAGCCTGTGGTTTTTGCAAGAAGTCCTCCTACCATGTTATGCCTACCCATTTCCTATAGTTCTCTCAACTATTTTAACTATTGGTCATTGTAACAGAAGGTTACTTGTCGATATGTTGCTCTGTAGTTCTGAAGATGATGATGTTCTACAGATGTTTACAACTTTCTTTCTCATAAAAGTTCTTTGAGGACAGGAAAAAAAGAAACATGTATTCCAGGTCTTTTTAATCCCCCTTGTAGTGATTATTGACTTACTAGCTAAAAGATTGACAGTGAGAGGCTGAAAATCATACATTATAAGTAAGGAATCTTAGCAACCCCCTTAAGCTGTTTTCTTCCACCTTGAGGTATCAATTTCATAAAGCTTATTTCTCTGGACAAAAACTTCCAGAGAAATGAAGAATAATATTATGAATGAAAAGTTCTTATGATTTTTGAGGTGGAAGATAGATTAGAGGTCATTGAAACCAACTGCTTTCTTCATTTTACAGTCAGTCAATGAACATTTATTGAACTCAATCTATAAGCATTTTACAAATGAGGAAAGTGCTGCCCTGAGAGGGTGAGTGACTTGCCCAGGGTTACACAGATGATAAGGCTCTGAGACTAGATTTGATCCCAGGTCTTCCTGACTCAAGGTCCGGTGTTCTATCTACTTATTATAGTACCTCTTCATAATAGCATGAATAGAAAGTTGATGATTATTATACTACTTTAATATATCTATCACTTATGTTACTTTTTTTTTTATGAAAATGAAGAAATCCATTCTAAAGATACCATCGTAAACACCATGGCATTTCACAAAGAAGGACTATTTGTTTCTGGAAATGTAAGATGTTCTTCCATATTTATTTTCCTTTAGAAAACACATGGCAGGGGCAGCTAGATGGCTTAGTGGATAGAGCACCAGCTCTGGGGTCAGGAGTACCTGAGTTCAAATCCAGCCTCAGACACTTGACACTTACTAAGCTGTGTGACTCTGGGCAAGTCACTTAACCCTGATTACTTCACCAAAAAAAAAAAAAGAAAAGAAAATACATGGCACAAAGTTTCCTTTTCCTATTCTTCTGACCCAGATTTTAGAATGTTAGTTCTTTCAGAATAATATTCTGATTTCCTGTCTTTGTTGTTTGTCTTTTCAATATGAATGAATACTTAAAGAAATATAATCTCTTGGGGGGACAAGGTGGAGAGGGTAAAGGGAACCACAGTAAAGAAATCCCAGATGATTATATTTAATTATAGCCTTAGCTAAATCTTGCTTCCAGGCAACATTAATTGTATATTGCTGTCACTCTTTTATATTCTTGAGGGTGTTAGTCATTATTTTACCACCTCAACAGTTTTCTTAGAGTCAGAGATTTAGAAGCAGAAGAGGTCCTTTGAAGTCATTTTTTCTTTTTCTTTCTTTCTTTCTTTCTTTCTTTCTTTCTTTCTTTCTTTCTTTCTTTCTTTCTTTCTTTCTTTCTTCCTTTCTTCCTTCCTTCCTTCCTTCCTTCCTTCCTTCCTTCCTTCCTTCCTTCCTTCCTTCCTTCCTTCCTTCCTTCCTTCCTTCCTTCCTTCCTTCCTTCCTTCCTTCCTTCCTTCCTTCCTTCCTTTCTTTCTTTCTTTCTTTCTTTCTTTCTTTCTTTCTTTCTTTCTTTCCTTCTTTCCTTCTTTCCTTCTTTCCTTCTTTCTTTTTTTTGCCAAAGGCAAGGTTTATTAGAACAACCATCATATTGGACAGACTCTTAAGTAATCTAAGCATTGTATCACTAATGCAAATGAGCCAGATTATAAGAATCTGAGCACCTTAATGGAGAGAAGATGGACCTTATATACAGAAAGACTGTGGGAGGGATCTAGGAGTGGCCAAGTAGTTTGGGGTGACTGGAGGAGGGTTCTAAGGAAGATCTGGACAGGAATGACCGGTAAGCTGGGGTGAACAGAACACCAGGGACCTGGACCAAGTGGCCAACCAAGAATGGAGTCTAGAGAGGATTAAGGGTGGGAAGTGGCCAGGGGCAATTGGGAGATAACAGAACAGAATTGGGAGATTGGGAATAGCCACAATGAAAGGCCAGTTGATAGGATTATAGCCTCAGGTGAATGCCAGAGATTTAGCCAGGGGGGGAAGTCTAGGGTTTTTCCTTTTTGAGGTCCACATCCCAATGACATGGTCTTTTCCTTTTAGGGGTTCAGATCCCATCCCCATCATTCCCCCCTCAAACAAATGGGACCCAAATTCTTTTGGGGTAAGGGATGAAGGTCTTGGCTTCTGAAACTGCTTCCTGCTGGCAAGAGGCTTAGAGCTGTGCCTGCCTCGAGGGAGTCCCAAAGAGGTTGACTGGAACCGAGCACAGGCCGCATCCAGGGGACAATGGGGGGACATTGGCTGGTACCCACTGTTTGCCACCAACTGTAGGTGAATGGTCTGGAAGACACAAATCTGACAGAAAAGACTACAGGACCCAGATATAGGGAGAAGTAAAAGTGTAACAGCCCCATTAAAATCGTTTACATTTGACCTACAGGATTATCAGATCTTGTTACTTTTTCTGAAGTTTAAATAACACTCTTACAGGTAGAAGTTTTCCACCCTGGTGTTCAATAGTTATACAAATGAATTTGCCAGAGGCTGACTTTCACTTCAATCATCATTCAAATTCTCCTCCCCAAACCAAACTGAAAATGTTTCTGATTTAATTTCAGTTGTTTTGGGAGTATCGAATGATTACACATTCAGGTCAAAACAGCAAGATCTCACACACTTGCACTAATCTTTTACTGACCACTTGCTCTGATTATAGAAATTTGCTGTAAAAGGATAAAGCAGGGAGTAGATTCAGGGCCCAAATATGACAGGATAAAACATCCTTAGCTCTGTTTGAATTCAGATAATTCAGTCTTCAAACCATGTCATATCAAATGCACCTCATAGCCAGACTCAGGAATAGCCAGGTGGGTAGCATTGCTTTTCAAAGGAACATAAGGGGTCTGTTCAAGGGAATGTAAATATATTAGCTCAAATTCAGTCTTGCTACTAGAAAAAAGACCTCAAAGTCTTCCTGTAGGCAGGCCAGCAATATTATCTTTATATGCTAAAGGACAATTAAATTAGCCTATGTCTGTTTATAGTCAGTAACTATTATTCAGTCAGTTAATCAACAGGCATTTATTAAGCACTTAATTAAGTGCCAGGTGCTGTGCTAGATGCTGGGGATACAGAGATAAAGACAAAACAGACCTTAATATCAAGGAGTATACATACTGACAAAGAGACAAAATGTATTGGTGTATATATACATATACACATACTAGATACCAACCTTGTGCTCAGTTTTGTCTTAGATGCCAAGGACAATAAAAAGCTTCTTCCCTCAAAAATTTTAGAAGACTAGACATGAACAAATGAAACATTAGAAATATAAGACAATAGAGGTAATGTTAGAATAAGGTCATGACTAATTTCCATAAGCCATGAAAGCTACAAAAGAATATCAGTTTGGTTACTTTATCATAAACAGCATTTTACGTAATCAGCAGTCTCATACAAACTAAAAAATACTACTGGATTTCAAGGAAGAAGGGAATTGATAAGGATTTGGCAAAGGCTTCCTGAAGGAGGTATGACTTGAGCTAATACTTTAAAAAAATAGGTAGAATTTGCTTAAAATGGGAGAGAGGGATGCACTTAAGCAGTATGTGCAAAGCTATGCTCTTGGTTTGACCAGATTAGTGTGGGACATCTGTTTTATAAAGACAGAAACTGACACCTGCATTTATCTTCTTATTTTTTACATCAAGGATGGTATTGTGCATTCTTTTACTATCAAGGAAATACATTACAGTGTAAAAGACTATTTTGATGTGCAAGAGCCTGTAGGAAACATTATATTCTCTCCTGATTACACACTGTTACTGATTGAAACCATTAAGGTATGGAATATAATGAATTCCTGTTATAAAATGCTAATGCAATATATCATGGAAAATGTTCTGTTGATGTACTTACAGTCATATATGAATATGTGAAGGATCTGTGAATTTGTCTTATGTCAGTAACTTCCAATTTGGGAACTTCCTGTAAGGCAGATTATATCTCATTTATGATTTACTAAATAACTTCTAAGGAGCTGTCTGAGGTTAAAGCATTGGGAGGTTAAAGTAACTTGCCCAGGAAAATAGAGCTAGTAAATGTAAGAGAAGGATTTGAAGTTCTACCTGACTTCAAGTCCAGCACTCTATCATATCACACAGCTTCATTTTTAAAGAGAATTACTAAACTGGTAGATGAAGGGAATGCAAGAGGGAGATATAATTTGCCTAGGTTTTAACAAAGCATTTGATAAAGCATCTCATACTATTTTTGTAGAGAAGATGGAGAGATGATATAATTAAATGGATTCAGATATGCTGAAATGGCCAAACTCAAGAGTAGCTCTTAATAGTTCAATATGAACAGGGAAGGTCTCTGGTGGAAGGGATGTCAGTGATTTAGTCCAATACATATCCTAAAGTAATTCTTACTATAATATACCTGACAAATGATCATCTAATTCTAATCTCTACTTAAAAGACTTGCAAGGAGGTCTTTCAGATGACAAGGATTTGTGCCTTTATCCAAGTCATAAATAAAAATGTTTAATATAATGTCTGATCTCATCTGGAGTATTCTGTTCTGTTCTGAGTACCACAGTTTAATTAAGATATTGATAATCTGAGAAAAGTTCAGAGGCGGGACAACCAAGATGGTCAAAGTCCTTGAGTCCGTGTTATATGAGGATCTGATGGACTGGACATGATTAGCTTAGAAAAGAAAAGATTGAAAAGGCAGCATTTCAGTGGTTTGTAAGGGCTGATGTGGAGAAGAAATTAGATTGGTTTTGAGGTAGAACCAGGAGCAATGGGTAGAAATTATAAAAAGACAAATTGAGGTTTGCTATGAGGGCAAACTTAGTGATCAGAATTGTCCAAAAGTGGAATGGACTGCCTTAATAAGCAGTCTATTCCATCTCTTTGGAAGTCTTCAAGTAGAAACTTGATGACTACTTGTTGGGTATATCATTGATATATTCCTTTCAATTCTCAAATTCTATGATTCTGTGATGTTTCATCATTATAACGTGACTTTAATGAAGTATACAAAGGGTATGATCATAAAGGGCTCTTCTTCCAGGCTATCTTCCTTGTTTTGACTTTGTTTCCTTCCCTGTATAGGCTTGACTCCATAGTTACCCATTTCAAAGATGCGTTGTACTGCATCCATGAATCCCTTGGCCACTTGACCTTCTACTGTTTCTTCTTTGCTAATTCCAACACTAGGTCACACTTAACATCCACCCTCTTTGGACAAGGGTCTGAGTGCTATTAGAGGAAGTCATGTATGTTTTGCATGATTTCACATGTATAAATTTTAAAAGTTTTTTAAACTTATTTTAAACTAAAATGCAAAATAAGAAAAGAAAAAAATTGCCATGTACACAGCAGAACATAAAAGAGTATTCAATATAAAACAATAAATTTCCTTTTCAAAAAAACCCATATAATAAATACTACATGTTTTCATGTTTTCAAAGCTGTCCAGCATTTCTTTGCTTCCTTGTAGGTTTTCTTTTGTTCTCTGCTGTGTACTTTTTACTTTATTTTTCCCCTTCCTCCTCCTCAAAGAAGACCACAATTAAGCATATATGTGTGCATGTCTACACACACACACACACACACACACACATACATAGATACACATACATAAATATCTATAGCCATATATGTGTGTATGTATATACACACACACATATACATATACACATGCACTCATACATATATGTGTAAGACCATACTAGGCTTATTTCCACTTGTCATCTGTTTCTCTGAAGGTGGATAGCATCTTACTTGATAAGTCTCAAGTTTTTCTATATTTTTCTAAATCAACCATCTCATTATTTCCTACACCAGAGCAATATTCCAGCACAATCATTCTGAGAGATTGTCTATGAAAGTTTTTTCCCCCAATTTTCTGCATTCCTTCTATTCTTGGCTGCATAGGTTTTATTTATACAAGAAAATTTTAATTTGAAATAATCAAAATTAAACATTTTACGCTTCAATAATGCTCTCACCTTATAATATAGTTTAAGGTCTGATACTACTGAATCTGCTTCCTTTATACCTTTTTTACCCTGGTTTCTTTACAGTTTCTGACATTTTGTTCTTCCAAATGAACTTTGCTGTTATTTTTTCTAACTCAGTAAGATAATTTTTTAGTAATTTAATTAGTATGGCATTACATAAATAGATTAGTTAGGTAAAATTGTCCTTTTTTTTATTATATTGACTTTACCTAGCCATGAACAATAAATATTACTTCTTTCATAGTACCTGAGTCTGGTTTGGCAGGTATACTCTCAGGTATTTTATACTGTCTAGTTATTTTAATGGTCTGAAACAGTATTGAATAATATGGCTGACACATGGTGTAGTTTCCCTGTTTTTCTGTTTTGATTAAATCTATTTTAGCTTCAGTTTTGTCTGAGATCATAATTACTCCCCTGCTTTTTTTTACATAATAAATTCTACTCCTGGCCCATATTTTATGTTTGTGTGTATCTCTCATTTTTGTATCATTTCCTGAAAGCAACATATTGTTGAATTGAAATTTTTAATCTGCTATCAGTTTCCATTTTATGGGTAAATTTATCCCATTGACATTCTAAGTTATAATTACTTGTTGTATATTTTCTTCCTTCCTATTTTTCCTCACTATTCTATTATCATCCTATTCCTATCCTTCCTTATTCCTCTGCTTTACTTCTACCTGCTACCTTGCCCTCCTATTCCTTAACCTATCCACCCCTCCTTTGTCCTCTCCTCCCACCCTATCCCCTTGCCTTCTTGTTTCTTTCTGCACTTAGAAGACTTTCATCCTCTTCTGGATATATATGTTGTTCCCTCTTTAACCCACTCCTGATAAGAGTAAGGTTTCAGTACTACCCACTGTCCCCTCTACTTGTTTCTTCTGTATCAATTTTTCCTTTTTTACCTCATTTGTATGAGATAATTGCTCCTTTTTGTCTCTCCCTACACAGTTTAGTTTTTTTTTTTAGGATCACTCCATCATACTCAGCTCAACCCAAGTGTTTCAAACTACTCAAATAAAAATGACAGTCATAAAAGGACTGATAATATTTTCATATATAACAAGTAAACAATTTGACCTTATTGAGTCTCTTATAATTGGTCCTTAATGTTTCTCTTATATTTCTCCTGGATGTCATATGTTTACTTTTCCCATAAGTTCTGCTGTTTTTGTCATAAATACCTGAAAGTATTTCGATTTGTTAAGTGTCATTTTTTTTTTGAATTCAGGATTATGCTTAACTTTACTGGGTAAGTTACCCCTTGGTCATAACTCTGGTTCTTTTGCTCTTTGAAATATAGTATTCCAAGACCTATGGTCCTTCAATGTAGTAGCTGCTAGGTCTTTTATAATCCTTATTATAGTTCTACAATATTTCTATTGGTTTTTTTTTTGTTGCTTCCAATATTTTTTCCTTAACTTGAGAGCTTTGAAACTTAGCTATAATATTCCTCTAAGTTTTCCTCCTGGGACCTCTTTCATGTAATGATCAGTGCATTTTTATATTTCTGCTTTGCCTTATTCTAGAACTTCAGGGCAGTTTTCCTTAATAATTTCTTGTAACATTCCATCTAGATTTTTTTTTAATCATAATTTCAAGCAGCCTGACTATTATATTATTTCTCCTCAATCTGTTCTCCAAATCAGTTGTTTTTCTGATGAGATGTTTCATATTCTCTTCTATTTTTTTATTCTTTTGATTTTATTATTTCTTTGTGTTCTTAGAATGTCATTAGCTTCCCTTTGCCCAGTTCTAGTTTTCAAGGAATTATTTTCTTCCTTAAGTTTTTGATTCTTTATTTCAAGTCAGTTGGCTTTCTTTTCATGATTTTCTTGCATTACTCTTTTTTCCCCCTAACTTTTCCTTGATTTCTGTTATTTGATTTTAAGGTCCTTTTTAAGTTCTCCTAAGAAATCTTTTTGTGCTTGGGATCAATTGACGTTTCTCATTGAAAAAGAAGTTGATTTATTAGCTCCATTATCTTCCTCTGAATATGAACCCATATTTTCTCTATCATAGTAGCTATCTATGGTTGGGTTATTTCTGCTTTGCTTACTCATTTTTACTTATTCTTTTGTTTTGTTTTATTTTTAGCAGCTGTTAGTGTGATCTAGTTCTAGTCTCAAGGTATGGGGAATGGTGCCCCAAGCCTCAGGTCCTTCTTACTGTTATTTTCTGAGGTTAGTTCCCGGCACAACCTTGGGTTCTCCTCTCCATTCCTAAGCCACAGCTAGAGCCCTGGGTCACGATGTCCGGCAAATGATTTTACTCTCTGTGGTCCCTCTGATGGCTGCAAACTACAGCTGTCCTCTCTGCCCTGAAACTGAAACCAGGGACTTTGCTTTCCTGCAAGGGCCCACAACCAGCAGAGTCCCCGCCCCTCTGCTACTGCACTCCCCAGATATGTGCTAGCTCCTTCTCCCCTGCAGCAGCAGCCCTACTCTTGACGTATCTGGTCAGCACAGCTGTGCTTGGCGTCCCTTGAAAGTGGAAGGTCCTTCAACTCTGCAGGGACAACTGATGCTATCCACCTGAATTTCCTACTCTATATTTCTATGTTCTTTCACCAATCCTTTTCTTCTTTGCTCTGGTCTGAGAGAATAAGATAGCCCTTTTCTTTGTCACAGATAATCCTTCCTCTTGTCTGCATAACCTATCCTCTTAGGGACTTTGTTTCACCAATGAATCCTTGAAGAAGGAAGGAAGGAAGGAAGGAAGGAAATAAGCATTTATTAAGTACCTACTGTGTGCCAGGCATTGTGTTAAATGGTTTGAAAATATTACTTCATTTGATCCTCACAACAACCCTGTGTTTTAGATGCTATTATTATCCCCATTTTACAGTTGAGGAAATAGACAAACAGAGGTTGTGATTTGCCCAGAGTCACACAACTATTAAGTGTATTTGAATTAAGGTCTTCCTGGCTCCAGGCTCAGTGCTCTATCTACTGTGCCATTTATCTACTTTAGTTATATATGAGACCCATAGTTCTTTCTTCCTCCTTTTACAAGAAATTCAGCATATGTATTACAGTCTTCCTCTATGCCCGAATTTCTTTGCTTTTTGGAGACTTCAATCATTATGTCAATGTCTCCTCAAACACCTACCAATTTATCATCTTCCTCAAATCCCATGATGTACAGCTTCACTTCACTCTACCTCAGTTATTAATTCTTTGTTTTTTGATTAATTCTTCAAGCTTATATTATACCTACCATGTCTTGGCCAGTGTGTGAGCTGCTCAAAGTACAAAGACAACAACAGAATAGTCCCTGCCCTAAATGAGCTTCTGTTCTGTTGGGGGAAAACAACATATACACAGATGTGTGTGTGTGTGTGTGTGTGTGTGTGTGTGTGTGTGTGTGTGTGTGTGTGTGTGTGTGTGTGTATTTAGGGGGCAGCTAGGCAGCACAGTGGATTGAGCACTGTGCCTGGAGTCAGGAAGACCTGAGTTCAAATCTGGCCTTAGACACTTACTAGCTGTGTGACCCTGGGAAAATCACTTAACCTTATTTGCATCTGTTCCTCATTTATAAAATGAGCTGGAGAAGGAAATAGCAAACCACTCCAGTATCTCTGCCCAAAAAACCCCAAATAGAATCATGAAGAGTTAGAAATGACTGAACAACAATATATATGTGTGTGTATATATATATATATACATATATATATATATACACACACACACGTACATATGTATATACATATACATACACATAACACATATGTATGGTATGTATATATGTGTATATATCTATATCTATATATCTGAAAGTCAATGTGGTATATTAGAAAAAGCATTGAGTTTAGAGTCAGAAGACCTAGTTTTAAGTTCTGCTTTTGACATTTATTAGCAAGATTCTTCATCTGTATAAAGGGGATATTTGTGAATCAAATCACAACATAGTTGTGAATCAAATTATATAATATATGTGAATCACCATGCAAATCTTAAAATTCTACATAAATGTTTACTACCTCTATTATTATCTTTAAAAATAGTAGGAAATTCCTGGTTAAATCTGGTGACTTGACCTTTCAGGAAAATAGAAATTTCTATGCCTCAGTTTCAGATTTAGCTCTTTGAAAGGTGAGTTGATCCCTTTAAAATCTGAATTTATGGAGCAGCTAGGTGGTGCAGTGGATAGAGCACCAGCCCTGGAATCGGGAAGACCTGAGTTCAAATCCAGCCTCAGACACATAACACTTGTTTAGCTGTGTGACTCTGGGCAAGTCACTTAACTCCAATTGCTTCACAAAAAAAAAAAAAGATCTGAATTTATAATCTGTAGAAGAAGTCACAGGCTTACCACTTTGTCACGTTACCTCTTCCTCTTTTCAGATTTATTTCAAAATTTAAAAAAGAAAATCAAATGTTATGTTTTCTTTAAGAAGTTATAGCAAATATTTTATTTTCAAATGATTTTTAAAATATGCTCTACAGGGATCGGTTTACACCTATACTTTTGGTGAAGAACCAAAAGTTAAAACAATCATGGATGCATATAGTGGCAATGTACAGTCAATTGACTTTATCACACCTGGAAACAAATATTGCATGGTGAGGAATTTTCCTATATCTGTCACAGAATGTAGTAGAGTTGAAATGTTTAAAATGTAAACACTTCAATATGAAAAAATTTAACTCTGTATCAATATTGGAAACTGTCTCTGAACTAAGTGTTTGCAGGTATGTGACTTGCAAAGGAATAAGATCTTGAAGATTTTGGTTGGAAGTTAAATTTATTATTAGTTCATAACCTTCCTTAACAAGTGTGAATTGATATTATCACAATGTTAAGACCATTGAAGTTATTTCATTCCTGACCATAAAAAAGCAAGCAAGAGATCTTAAGAGAACATCCCTGTGCTAGCTTTCCAAAGAGGCATTTCACTACATTATTTGCAATAGTTAAATATTTAGCAAACTTACATGGTTAATTTATCTCTAGTCAGATGTAAATGTATATATATTTATAACTGAGGTTTAAAAAATTTTAACTGAAGTTGTTGAAATATGTTGTGTCATAGGAAAAGCAAGAAAACACCCTCATTGACATATTGTTCCAATCGCTTTGGACCAAGCCACCAGATATGTTGCAGCCAGTGTATTATTTCTTTCAGTGGCTCTGATGCTATACTTGTGATCAGCTAAAAAAATTTATTTCACTATTCACATGTTCTACCAAAAAGCTCATCAATTGTGGTGTAGAGGAAAAAACACTGACTTGAAACTAGATCTGAATTCTGCCTCTTGCTGGCTGTGTGATTTTTAGCAAATTACTTCATTTCTCCTGTGCCTCAGGTTTCTTATCTTTGTAAAATGAGGTGAGGGGAGGTTAGGGTTAGACTAGAGAAATTCTAAGATTCCTTCTATCTCAAAATCTTATGACAAATTTAATTAGTTTTGAATTTCAGGTAATCAGAAGGAAATGTTTGATATCCAGAATCTCTCATGTAAGAACCTTGTCTGTTTTCAAGGAGTGTCCAAAGTAATAAAATTCTATTCAAGAGCTTAACAACAAGGTGCTAGATAACTGATGTTATCAATTTTCTAGTCAGATATTCACTTCTCAGCCTTTTTTCTTCATATTTGTCTAAAAGAGGTGTCAGGTCTCAAATTCTATGAAATTTTACTTAAGTGCTGATTTTATGAAAGAATAAAAATATGGGAACAAATTTTGATATATTTTTAAAAAGAACTTTGGGAGGATTTTTTAAAAATCCACACATGTTCCCTGGGCAAAATTCCTTTCATTACGTGATTTCTAGCTTAAAATACTATATATTTAATCTATTTAATTATCATAAGTTTTAAAAAAAGTATAGCAAAGATATTGTCCGACACATCTTTAAATTACAAGTGTTGGTGTTGAAATTTTCATCTTGATTGAATTTTCCTTGATTTGTATAAATGATACTCATGGCCCATTTTCAAGCTATAACAGAATATGGAAAAAGTTCATTTTCCATAGAAAACAGTTTCTAGGCTTATGCTTTTTTTTATTGCTTGTATGTTCAAGTCAGTAACTATTTTGGGAGAGATCTGTATTTGGTTGTTAGAGAATGGATCCCGTGTCAGCAAATTACACCTTAGGACTGAGGTATGTATACTTAAGGGGTAGGTAATTTTCATGTTGAACACAATACAAGTTTGTCTTTTTATTTTCACATGATCTTATTTTCTCAGGAAATGCCCTTGTTTATCAGTTTGTATATATTTTATCTTTCACTGTTCTACAATAACTTTGGTGTATGTAAGTGTACTGTAAAGTCATACAATTGAATATCACACAAAACAATGCTTGTATTTTACCCAAGACATAATACTGTATTACTGGTGTTTCAAAGATAAAATTTCATTAAGCATAAATCAAATTGTAGAAAGATCGGGAAGAAATGAAAGAATGATTTATATGTATTTCTTGTCATTATTAATATTTTGTTCATGTCTGTTGGATACATGGCACAGTTCTAGGTATTATGAAAATCTGACAGTAATTAGAGATGATGCTGTCTCTTCCCTTTATAAGATTCTGATCTCAATTCAAAAAGTAGACTGTGATACTAAACCTTACACCTAAGTAGGAGGATTACAGGGCATTAAAAAGCTAGAGAATGAAGTTTAAGGGGGTCAAGTCATAATAAAAGGACTAAAATTACAAATTCTTTATCCAAACTTGTAAAAGACAGGAAATCTCCATGATCTGTTTAACTGTGACTCAGTTTTGATATTTGGTTGTTTCTGTTTAGAATCAAAGAATGTTAGATTTTGAAAGAACTTCATAGATCATCTAGTCCAATCCCTTCATTGTACAGCATGGAAGAGAAGGGAAGTCACTTGTCCAGTATCCCATAGAGAGTTAGAAGCAGAATTGGAGCTAGAATTCAGGTCTGAATCCTGATTGAGTACCCTGTCTACTTTACCATGCTGCTTCTTTTCTTTTGGTTGTGGAAGAAACAGAAGCAATATAGAAGAGCCATTTCTGTATTCAATATTCAGTATTTTTTCTACTACATGAATTGTACCTGTGCATCCTAAAAGAGATTAATAGTAGACTAGGTTCCTTATACAGTGCAATCCACATTCTCTTTTTTAAGGATTCAGCTACCTGCTAGGTAAGAGAATCAATGCAATAATGGTGACATTTTCTTTTTATTGTGCCTTGGATAGTACCACTTTTGGTTGCTTCATGACCTGGTGATCAGTTTGGCTTAGTACTTTGCATAATATCTGGTTACGGTTGAAGAATTAAGAGGGCATAACAAGCAGGATATCATCATCTATCTTTGCAATATCCTAACACATAATAGAATGATCATTTGAACTGATTATTTATAAAGTTTTTGAATAATTTATTTTATAATTCCGTATTGGAAAAGACTCAACCTGGGTTAGCCTGAGAAAATAACTTTTTGTTTTAATTTTTAGGCAATTTGGGGTTAAGTGACTTGCCCAGGGTCACACAGCTAGTAAGTGTCAAGTGTTTGGTCTGAGGTCAGATTTGAACTCAGGTCTTCCTGACTTCAGGGCTGGTGCTCTATCTACTGTGCTACCTAGTTGCCCCAGAAAATAATTTTTTAATACTAATTCATTCAATAGATGTCCATTAAGCAACTATTGTGTGTGTATTTTCCTAGGTGCTTACTGAAGATACAAAAGAAACAGAAGATAGCACTTGCCTTCTTGTTTATTTTTATCTATTTGAAGAAATGATATGCCCATATGAAACAACTGGAATATTACACAAGTCATGGTAGCTAAAGACCTATGTTCTTGAAAAGGCAGTATGTTGTTCAGTCTTTCAGTCATATTCAACTCTTTGTGTCCCTGTGTACCATGCTGTCCATGGGTTTTTCTTGGCAACAGTACTGGAGTAGTTTGGCATTTCATTCTCTAGTGGATTAAGGCAAACAGAAGTTAAATGATTTGCCCAGGGTTACACAGATAGTAAATGGCTGGGCCCAATTTGAACTCAGGTGTTCCTGACTCCAGGCCTAGAACTCTATCTGTGTATCCATTTAGAATGAATGTATTGTGGAATGTGGTAAAAGATGTTGGTCTAAGCCTAATTTCTGCTAGACTGCTTTTCAGTTCTCTCAGAAGTTTTTATTAGATAGGGAATTCTTTCCTAGGTTATTTTTGTTTTTTGTTCTATTGAACAGTGAATTGTTGAGTTCCATGTTTCTGATTCTCCCTAGATGGTTTTGATAACTGCTTCTTTATAATATAATTTGAGAGCTAGAAGTACTTTCCCCCCCTTCATCTCTACTTCTTTTCATCATTTTCCTTGATATTCTAGATCTTTTGTTTTTCTAAATGAATTTTGTTATTAGGCCATTTTTTTAAAATGAAGTATGAGGTGATGTTCTCAGCTGAGGGTTGGGGAAAAGGGTGTGTTAGAGAGTTGAGAAATAAGATTTGGAACAGCTGCTGTGGAGACTAGACTAGTGAATCAATTAGGGAGGAAAAGAATTGTTGCCTTCCTACAGCAAGGACTTAGTTCAAAGTAGAATTTATACTGGACCCAGTCAGCATGGCTTCATGATTTCCTCTAACTCAGTTCACAAGCATATGAATAGGAGAAAAGAAAGGCAGTGGGAATAATCTGGGGTTTTTGTTGTTCAGTTATTCAGTCATGTCTGCCATTGCTGTCCATGGAGTTTTCTTGGCAAAGATAATGGAGTGGTTTTGCCATTTCCTTCTCCTGTGGATTAAGGCAAACAGAAGTTAAGTGACTTGCCTCGGGTCACACAGTTATGAAGTATCTGAGGCCAAATTTGAACTCAGATCTTCCTGACTTGGGTTAAACCTTCTTTAATCTAGTTAGGCTTTGGTAAATCTTGATTAACAATAAAACAAGGGGGCAAAAGGTCTGAAAGTAAAGCGCAGTGTAGAGTAGAACTGATTCTCCAAGAAGTTGAGATAGGGAAGGAAAGAGAGTATAACCAGTGTGTGGATGATGGCCTGGGAAAGATCTGAGAGGTAGAAGGAATAAAAGTCACAATGAGAACAAAAAACAATGTCAGGAATAGTAAGGCATAAGGAAAGATGGGATGATAAAAGACTATGATCAAATAAAGGAATTTCATAGTTCATAAACAAAGAACCTGGAACATTTGTGGACAAGATAAAGGGTGTGACCATCTCTCTATGTGACTCAGGTCCTTAGTTTCCTCATATATAAAATGAGAGGATTGGACTAGATGAGGAATTTTTAACATTTTCTGTATCATAGACCCCTTTGGTAATCTAAGTGAAGCCTATGGACCTCTTCTCAAAGTAATGTTTTTAATTTAATTTAATTTAAAACATGTAGGATTGCAAATAAAATGAATTATAATGAAATAGAAATATCTTTTAAAAACAAGTTCACAAACTCTGCGTTTAGGTGAACTCTTAAGGTCCTTTATTTAAGGCAATTCCAATCACATGATGTGATTATAAAGTGATAAAATTGATTCTATAAGCCTCACATAAGAGTGACTCTTTTTATTTCCAGTAAATCTGCTAAGCATGACTTCAATGGTCTAGTAAAACAACTGTCACAAGTCTCCTTGTGGTTTAAGTAGGATCCGTGATGTCTGTCATCATTCCAGTATATGTGTCCTCTCTATATATCTAATTCTTTCGAAACTGATTCTTTTAAATATGTCTAGGAGGGAAGCACTCCAGGAAGGAAGAGGTAAGCAATCACAGATGAATCCCTATTTCTCTCCCAGCTTTCTTTCATTATATATAATTTCATATGACTTCAGTATGACTCAGCATTCTGAGTTCCCTAATTTCCTTGGCCTTGGTGAGGAAAAGTCTCATTTCTTATTTCAGCTGAGATAAGGGTGACTTTAAAAAAAGTCTTTAATAGGTCAATGAGGAGTAAATATTTAAAATTACTCAGGATATTAACAAATGAGTTTAATGAGGAAGAGACTCTTATCCTATCCTAACTATGGTACAGTTTATAGAGACCTGTTCCTAATCTTCAGTTTTGTCTTTGCCTTTGCAGAGCTAAGGAAGGAAGAGATTTATCCTTTCATAGACCAAGAGAGCTAAAGACATCAGAGTGTTTGTAGAAGCCAGGTGTCTGTTTTATTCCCCAGACTTTAGGGAGTAGAGAGCTGAAGATGTTAGAAAGATGAAAATGTGTATGAAGGAGAGATGGACTTCATTTGTGATTACTGATCTCTTCTCTAATAGTCCCTCACAATGACCTAGAACAGTTGGGGTTAATTAAAAAAGAAATTGGGGCCAAGAAGCATTCCTGTTTGCTTAGAAAAGACTTAGAAAACCACATGTTAATATTACCTACTTTTTTGTATTTTCATTTATTTTGTTAAATATTTCCTAGTTACATTTTAATCTGGTTCCAGCTGCACTCCAGAGTATTGTAGGCTACATGTAGCCTATGGACTGTGTGTTTGACACCTCTGACCTAGAATTTTAATTAGTCTTAGATTTTTAAATAATTATTTTATGTATTATTATTGATCAAGTTACTTTTGTGTATCAGATTATTATTAAAATTATCATGTGATTATAATTTATTTTTAAGAAAATCTGTTGATAAAGTTCATAATTCCCACTTTTTTGACAAAGGAATATTTTCAATACATGTCACACATTTCTTTCAATCCTTAGGCATTCACACTTCCAGAATAATAATAGTAGTAGTAATAGATGACATTTACATAGTGCTTTAATATTTACAAAGCACTTTAACAAATATTTCTTCATGGAATCCTCACAACAACCCTATGGGATAAGTAGTATAAGTATTAATACCTTCTTTTTTTTTTTTAACATGTATCTATAGTTTATATTGCAACCCAGAGCCACCTGTTTGCCCACTCAGCCTTTGCAAAGCCAGAGTAGACTTTTGGTGTGAGTCTCTATGCTGCAGCTAAAAATTTGGGGGTTCATTTTAACTAGGTAAATGACATGGCTTGCTGCCCCTCCTCGCTTTCCGTTGCTCTGGGAACCAGTGCAGGATATATCCAGTTCCTTGACGTTACTGATGCTGAATTACCTCAAGTTGTTCATAATGTTTTCCTGACCCAATCTTCAATACAGCATGTGCGGTAAGAATAACTGGAAATGAATGCGACTTGTAATACCTTGTATGATATGTTTCCTGGGAATAACATGAATCAGTGGTTGTGAGGTGATGGCACAGAGATAGAGATGGCCTCCATAGTTACTAGCTCCAGCTGAATGTTAAAGGGACATAATAGGTTTCTTTTTAGTGTAGTATATCATATTTTTCAGTGTGTTGTCATAATTTTTACTTTGATTAATGAAACATTTTGACATTAACATTTTATTCTTTTTAACATTAAATTTTGAGAAATTTCAAAATATCCTAATTTTTTTTTTGTGGTATTATCAGATATTGATTACAGGGCACCATGATGTGACAGTACATCTCCCTTTGAAAATTATTCCAGTGATGCAAGAAGGATTTTTATGTCAAATTATGTTGACATTACATTTCACTCATGTCATTTTCTATGATTAAAATATTCACTGTAGGCTATTATTGTGTAATTTTAATTGAATCAGCTCTTTTGTAACTCAGTTTTATTTTATTTTTAGTTCTGAATTCTTGCCCTCCCACCTTTCCCCTCTCCCTCCAGAGTGAGAAGGCAAGAAAAACAAAACCTGTTACAAATATTTATAGTCAAGTAAAACAAATGTCTAGTTAGCCATGTTTAAAAAAAAAAGAAAAGAAAAAATGTTTCAATGTGTATTCTCAGTCTACAAGCTTTCTGTAGTGGATAGCATGTTGCATTATTTGTCTTTTGGATTTGTGGTTGGTTAGTGTGTTGATTAGAGTTCCTAAATTTTTCAAAGTTGTTTATGCTTTTAATATTGTGGTTATTATATAAGTTGTTCTCCTGATTCTTTCACTTCACTTTGCATTACTTTATACTCATATTCCTAAGTTTTTCTGAAACTGGTACCTTCATAATTTCTTACAGCACAATATCATTCATGTACTTGTTCAGCCATTCCCCAGTTGATGGACACCCCTTTAGTTTCCAATTCTTTGCTACTAAAAAAAAGAGCTGCTTGCTATAAATATTTTTGTATGTGTGGGGTTTTTTCCTTTTTTTTTTTTAATTTCTTTGAGTAGAGACCTAGTAATAGTATTGCTAGGTCAAAGGGTATGTACTCTTCAATATCTTTTTGGGCATAGTTACAAAATGTTTTCCAGAATGGTTGGACGAGTTCATAGCTCCACCAATAGTGCATTAAAGTACCTCTTTTCCCACAGACCCTCCAAAATTTGTTATTTTCTTTTTTGTTGTTGTTGTCATTTTTGCCAATCTAATGGATGTGAGGTGGTATCTCAGAATTGTTTTAATTTGTATTTCTATTATTGATTTAGAACATTTTTATGTGACTACTGATAACTTAGATTTCTTCCTCTGAAAACTGTTTATTCATATCCTTTGACCATTTATTGATTGGGGAATGGCTCTTATTCTTATAAATTTGACTGAGTTCTTGTAATCTTATAATTTGCTACAAGGATTTTTCCTCCAAATTCCTGCTTCTCTTCTAATTTTACATTAGTTTTGATTATTCAAATCTTTTAAATTTTATGTAATAAAAATTATTCATTTTGCTTCCCATTAACTTATCTCTTGTTTGGTCATAAACTCTGACACATCATTTTTTCCATGCCCTTATTTATTAAGGTCACCTTTTATGTCTAAATCATTTACCCATTTGGAGCTTATCATGGTATATAGTATGCATTGTTGGTCTATACCTAGTTTCTTCCAGACTGTTTTCCATTTTTACCAACAGTTTTTGTTCGATAATGAATTATTGCCCTAATATTTGGGATTTTGTGGGTTTTTAAACACTAGGTTATTGTAATAATTTGCTTCCATATTTTATGTACCTAATGTACCAACCTCCTTATTTCTTATCTAGTACCAGATTTTTTGATGATTATGACTTTGTTTGAGATCTGGTATTACTAGGTCTCCTTCCTTCCCTGTGCTTCATGAATTCCCTTGATATTATTGACTTTTTCTTCTTCTAGATGAATTTCATTATTTGTTATTATTTTTTCTAATTCTATAAAGTAATCCCTTGGAAGTTTGATTGGTATGGCACTGAATAAGCAAATTAATTTAGGTAGTATTGTCATTTTTTTTAATTAGATCAGTCTACTTGTAAGCAGTTTATATTTTCCCAATTACTTAGATCTCTGTTTTTGTAAAAAGTTTGTACTGGTATAGTTCTAGTGTGTGTCTTGGCAGATAGACAAGTATTTTATACTGCCTGTAGTCACTTTAAATGGAATTTCTCTATCTCTTCCTGTTAGATTTTGTTGATGATATACAAAAATACTGATGATTTAAAATGTGTGGGCTTAGTTTATATCCTGCAACCTTGCTAAAGTTGTTGTTTCAGTTAGTTTTTTAGTTTGTTCTCTAGGGTTCTCTAAGTAAATGATGTCATCTGCAAAAATGATAATTTTGTTTCTTCTTTGCCTATGCTTATTCTCTTAATTTCTTTTTCTTGTCTTATTGCTATAGTTAGCATTTCTAGGACTATATTGAATAGTGATGGTAATAATGGATAGCTTTGCTTACCCTTTATCTTATTAGAAAGACTTTTAGCTTATCCCCATTATAAATAATACTTGCTCTTGGCCTTAGAGACATACCACTTATCATTTTTATGAGAGCTCCATTTATTTCTGTGCTTTCTAGTGTTTTGTTTTGTTTTTTGTAAACAGAAGGGGTGCATTGTATTTTGTCAAAAGTTTTTCTGTGTCTCTTGAAATAGTTATATGACTTGTTACATGGCATGATCAATTATGTTTATCCTGGTATAAGTCCTGTCTGGTTCTAATGTATGATCTTTATGACTTTTTTCTTGTTTTTTTTCCCCCCTGATCATTATTTGGTTTGGTGAGTTTTCAATAACTTTGTAGAGGAGATACGGCGGAGGGCTACGTTTCTTTCACTTCCTCTTACTTCATCTTACCTACACCCCCTTTTGTATCACCCTCTTGACTAGGCAAAGAAGTCATTATTTGAAGAGGTAATCAATCTCCTGTATTACCGATGTGTATGATTTGTAAGGTATCCATTAAATTCACAGGTAATCAGTTTCAGTCATTGTAAAGGATACAGTCCCTCACTTAGAGCAAGGTACTTCTGTCTGTAGCAGGGCACTTCCTCAATCTGCTGAATTCCTATGCTTGATTTCTGGCTGAGATAAGCCCTTGCTTCTGAGCTCAAGAATAGAGTCACAGTATCTTCTTGCCCCAAATCTTACCACCAGACATTCCTAAGGCTTCTAGCATCTTCTACTGTGTCTCAGCCATAATGGCATTAAACAGAGCTATTTAATTTAAAAACAGAAAGAATGTACAAATTCAGAAACGTATACCAGGTTGGGTTCATGTCCATCATTTTCTCTAGGCCTCTAGAGCAAAACTTCCTTGTTTAGTCTCATTCTGTTCCAGCCAAAGAGTGATTTCATCTGTCAGACTTTGTTTACAAAACATCATCAGGTGATTTGATTCCCCTGTCCTTCCCTAACCCTTTGCAGGATCCCTTTGACTCTTAAGTGTGATAGTGCATACATTATCTTGAGAGAAAAGAATGCTGGATTTGTATGATCATGGAAAAGTCATTTATCTACTTTGAGTCTCTGCTTCAGGCCTAATGGATAATATGCTATACTTGAGTTCAAGAGATATGGTTTCAAATACTGCCCCAGAAGAATTCCTGGCTCTGTGACCATTGGCCAGTCAGCATCTTAGAGCGTCAGTTTCCTCATGAGTAAAATGGCAAACCACTCCAGTATCTTTGCTAAGAAAACCCTAAAATGGAGTCACAAAGAGTCGGACACGACTGAAATGACTCAAGAACAGCAACAACTACTTTACTCATCTGTGAGAAAAGTACTTTGCAAACTCAAAGCATGTTTAAATTTGAATTATTATTAAAGTGCTAGAAAAATGCACTATCATCTATCATGTGCCAGCACTATCATCATCATCATCATCATCTTCATCATCATCATCATCATCATCATCACCATGATGTTTCTTTCCATGGAGAAGTTTGAGTTAAAAGGGCATTTCTAGAAAGGTCAATCCATAATTTCTGGCTGGATCTATTTCTGGTGAGGTTTGGTTCCTGAAACCAATTTTTTTCTGAAATTAGTAATTTAGTAAATAGCCGTATCTCTCCCTTCATTCAGGGAAATATGATTGTGAAAAGAGGATAAATAATTGCAATTTTTCCATCATCTCAAAAAACATATTGGTATAACACCCCAAAAGTATGCAAAGACAAGTTCCTCCATCCTACTTATATCTTTTAAGGAAGAAACATTAAAAATCATTATCACGAAGAAGCCAATATTCAAAATTTATTTCCCCATCTTTTAACTTGTGTATTTGTTCAAGATTATTTCAGAGTCTGTTTTGAGTTCCACTCCTGTGGAAAAGGAGGTGGGGTTTATATTGTCTCAGAAGACAAAGAACTAAAACTAACAAGTAGAAGATAAAATAAATTAGAATTCGGATGACTCTACAAAGTCCTACTCTACTGCCTTATTACCAAGTAGAGATAATTCTGGGTTCTTGAGAGCTGTCAGTAAGCACAGGCTCTGGCAGGTTCATGTAGGCTTCAAAAAAAGGTCCCAGCAATAGGCCAATCAATTTTCTAAGGACCAGCCTAGATAAGCTGGCCATCTGATAATGAATTCTTTGGTCATGGTAATTCACAAACAAAAGAAAAATACAAAATAATCAACACTCCTTTGCAAATCTTTTCCTCTTCTACAATGACAATGGCAGAGTAACAAAAAGAGGGCACAGAGGTTACCAAGTACCACACAGTTTTTAATCATTCTATAACCTTAATTATTGACTAACCATTAGATGTACCCACTAGTGGAACTGAATCATGTCATTCTTGTGTATAGCTCATATTGTATATAGCACTGGACATAGCACTGAATAACATCATAAAAAATAAAACTTGATATTTAAAGACTGGAAACTATCAAATATTGAAGTAGGGGCATTCAAATACATTTAAATACCCTAACCTCCCAGTTCCTCAATCTCAAATACCTTGACTACCAACTCTATCTCAACCGCACACAGGGAGTATCAATTCTAGAGCTCAATGTTAGTCACAAGTCTTACACTTCTAATTGATTAATTAATAAACATTTACCAAGTTCCTACTATGTTCCATTCACTGTGCTAGGTACTATGGATACACAGAAAGCCACAAAGCAGTCCTTGCCATGAGCTGCATACATTCTATGCTTTAAAATTCTCAAATTCCTCTATCTGATCATAACAGATCATTTTATCTCTCCCTGTACCTTAACCCTCCTAAACCCTCTTCTTGAGTCCTGTTCCTCTACCTCTCAGTACTTTCATATACCATTTGCTCATGCTTTGAATTAATTTCCATACATTTCCAGTCTTACCCCTGTAGTTAACCATTCCACTTTGACACTATCTTCTAACCTTACCCCCTCCTGGATTATCACCACACATGCATTGCCAACATTTTCCTCTTCTGCTCATCTCGCATTTCTGAATTGAGCTGAAGGAAGTCAAAACAACTCTGTTGACTGGATACACCACAAATTTATGCTATCTAATATCAGCTGAACCCTCTGCTACAAATCAGTCCTTTTACTTGTCCCTAATTTGTTGTCTATTGGATTCTCCACAGAAGATATTTCAAATCTTTTCTTCTCTCCACAAGCCTCCCTGTTCTCCCTCCCCTATCATCTAAGTACCTCACTTCATATTTTACTCAGAAAATAGAGGCCATGCACTATGAACTCTCTTTTCTGTTCTTCATTTTAAACTCCTTCATGTCATTCCCCATTCTCTACTCTAATAAAGACATTTGCCAAGACCAAGTGCTCTCTTTACAACATGTCCTCCCATCTTCTCTAGAAAACTTCTTCCACAATTATTGCCATTTTTCTCTCTAATCTTTGCTCTCTTAATGCCTTCTCCTTTCAACTTACCTTCTGTTTATTCTGTATAAATCATGTATGTACCTAGTTTTTTACATGCTACCTCATCCATGAGATACATAAGAAAAACAAAGTGGATGGAGAATGCTTATTGTCTCGATTATGAAATACAGTTGGATGAACAACCTATAGAGCTCATCTGTCAGTGTAGATAACTGGGATAGACACTTCAAATAGTCAACAACTTTGGCCTAGAATTAAAAGAGGAGGAAAATGGGCTGGGTTGCCTCTTCGAAATTGAAAGCTTCTTTTAGTTATCAGTTTTTATCAGTGTTGTTGTATGGCTGCACTAAAGAGCATACGATGAGTGTGAGCAGGCTAAAACACACAAGGAACTATGATGAAGAATTGGAGCAAAAGATAACAAAGAAATGTGTGATCAAAAAAGAAAATGGGTTGCCCATGTAATGAGAAGGAATAACTAGTGGACAGCCTGTGTGCTCTACTCATATCTTCTCAATATTAGGGGAAAATAAGGAATGCATTTACATCTATTGGGTGGTTCTCCCTTGGCAAATTTGGTAGTGGAGCCATGAACAAGCTTTGGACAGGATGGGCAGATGTAATCTATATCATTGTAGGGGATAGCCACATCAGTAAAACCCGTTCCAATGTAAAGAAGAACTTCCTAACAATTAGAGCTCTTGGGAATATAGTGTCATGAAGGGTAAAGTACTGAATTTGGATTCAGAAGACCTTGGTTCAGATAATTTAACCTGTCTGGGCCTCAACTTTCTAATTTCATAATGAAGAGATTGGACTTAGATATTCCTTTCAACTCCTAATTCTGTGATTCTATTAAATGGATAGACCTAATGGTAAATACCCATTAGTAGATGCATTCAATCAGGGCTATATGACCATTTGTAGGGAATGTTTGTATAGCAATTCAGGCATTGAGCAAGAATTGGCCTAGCTCACCTCTAAAATCTCTTTCAGATGTTCATATAATCAGTTTTGTTTCATTTTGTTTTAGTTATGACCAGAAGGGTCAGTACTTGATAACTGGAACTTCTGATGGATATATCTTCATTTTAAATGCCAAACCTTCACAGTCATTTAAGGTCCTTGGATTCACAGGTAAAATTCACATATAGCTATTATTTGTTAATTTGGATTTTCTAGCCTTTCTTCCAAAGAGGTTGAAATTCTGAGAATAATTGATCTGTGCCTGAATGTTTGTTGCATACATATTCTTTGTTAAGATAAGTATTTCAATTCTATCAAGAATAGTGGGAAAGTTTACTGAACCAGCATTTAATAAGTATTTACTATGAGCCACATGTGATACTAAGTGCTGGGGATAAAAAGAAAGGCAAAAAGACAAAAATAGCCCTTGCCTAATATGTAAATAAATAGGTATATGCAAGATACATATAGAGTAGAAGGAAAGTAACCTTAGAATAGAAGACTAAAGTGATTAGAAGAATTAAGAAGATCAAATATAGGAGGTAGCTGTTGAGTTGCATCTTGTAAGAAACCAGGGAATGTCAAGAAGCAGAAGTAAGGAGGGAGAGAATTCCAGGCATGGTGGATAGATAGCCAGTGTAAAAGCATGGGCATGGGAGATAGAGTGTTGTGTTTGAGATACAGCTAGCATACAGTATTACTAAACCACAGAGTGTGTTGTGGGAGTACAGTATGAGAAGACTAGAAAGGTAGGAAGGAGTAAGCTTTAAATGCCAAACAGAAGACTTTATATTGGATCCTAGAGGTAATAGGAAGCCATTAGAATTTATTGAGCAGGAGATTAGGGATAACATAGATCTGTGCTTTAGGAAAGCCACATTGGCTTCTATGTGGAAGATGGCCTGGAGAGTAAAGAAACTTGAAGCAGGGATACCAATTAGGAGGATATTTCAATCATCCAGACAAGAAACAATGAAGACCTGAACCAGCATAGTAACTATGTAGGTAAAAAGAAAGGGTCTTATATGAAATATTTTGTGAAAAAGAAATGACAATATTTGACAATGGATTTGATATGTAGGATGAGTGAGACTGAGGAGTTGAGGATGACACTTGAGTTTGAGAACCTGGGAGACTGAAAAGATAGCACTGCCTTCAGTAGTAATAGGGAAACTTGGAAAAGAGGGCTTGGGGTGGGGATAGTAGAGATAATGAATACTCTTAGACATATTGAATTTGAAATGCTTACAAGATAACCATTTGCAAATGTTCAATAAACAGCTAGGGATATGAGATTGGAAGAGAAGTGGTGGAGATACATAGGTCTGGAAATCCTTTGAAAAAAGATGATAATTGAACCCATGTGAACCGATGAGATAACCAAGGAAGATAGTATAGAGAGGAAAGAGGACGAAGGACATAGCAGTGGTAGACATTCCTTCAACTTCCTTCATTAATGGGCATGGCAAGGATGAAAATCTAGGGAAGGAGACTGAGGAGAGGTTTGACAGGTAGGAGGAAAATAAGGAGAGAACAGCATATGAAAAACTAGAAAAGAAAGAGTTTCCAAGAAGAGAAGGTGATCAATCATGTCAAATGCAGCAGAGAAGCTAAGTGGAAAAAAGTAGGAGGATTGAGAAAGAATCTTGAGCTTTGGCAATTAAGAGATCATTAGTAATTTTTTTTCTTTTCTTTTTTTTAATATAAATGTATTTGTTTTTAGTTTTCAACATTTACTTCCACAAGATTTTGAATTCCAAATTTTCACTGCATCTTGCCACTCCCCCCACCCCAAGATGGCATGCATTCTGAATACCTCTTCCCCTAGTCTGCCCTCCCTTCTATCTCCGACCCCCCTTATCCTCTTCCCCTTCTATTTTCCTGTAGGGCAGGATAGATTTCTGTACCTCATTTCCTGTATTTCTTATTTCCCAGTTGCATGTGCATTTTTTAAACATGTTTTTAAAACTTTGGGCTCCAAATTTTCTCCCTTCCTCCCACCCCACCCGCCCTCATTGAAAAGGCAAGCAAGTCAATACAGGCCATACATGTGCAGTTATGCAAAACACTTCCATAGTAGACATGTTGTGAAAAACTAACTCTATTTCCTTTAAACCTATCCTGCCCCCCCCCATTTATTCTAGTCTTTCTTTTGACCCTGTCCCTCCTCAGAAGTACTTCCTTCTGATTACCCCTTTCCCAATCTGCCCTTCTCTCTATCATCCCCCTGCTCTCTTGTCCCCTTCCTCCCCTATTTTTCTGTAGAGTAAGACAGATTTCCATACCCAGTTGAGTGTGTATGTTATTCCTTAAGCCAAATCCTATGAGAATAAGATTCCCTCATTTCCTCTCACCTTCCTCTGTTTCCCCTCCACTGTAAGAACCTTTTCTTGTCTGTTTTGTGTGAGATAACGTACCTCTCCCTTTCTCCTTCTCCTAGTATAATCCTCTCTCACCCCTTAATTTTATTCTCCAGATATCACCCCTTCATCTTCAACTCACCCTGTGCCCTCCATCTATCTATCTATCTATCTATCTATCTATCTATCTATCTATCTATCTATCTATACATACATACATACATAAATATAATTTTTCCCCTCCCACTACCCTAATACTGACAAAGGTCTCATGAGTTATAAATATCATCTTTCCATTCAGGAATGTAAATAGTTCAGTCTTAATAAGTCTTTTATGATTTCTCTTTCCTGTTTATCTCTTCATGTTCCACTTGAGTCTTGTATTTGAAAGTCAAATTTTCTATTCAGCTCTGGTCTTTTCATCAAGAATCCTTGAAAGTCCTCTATTTCACTGAATGACCATTTTTTCCCCTGAAGGATTATACTCAGTTTTGCTGGGTAGGTGATTCTTGGTTGTAATCCTATCTCCTTTGCCCTCTGGAATATTATATTCCATGCCCTCTGGTCCCTTAATGTAGAAGCTGCTAAATCTTATGTTATCCTGATTGTGTTTCCACCATACTTGAATTGTTTCTTTCTGGCTGCTTGCAATATTTTCTCCTTGACCTGGGAACTCTGGAATTTGGCTACAATATTCCTAGGAGTTTTCCTTTGGGGATCTCTCTCAGGGGGAGATCAGTGGATTCTTTCAATTTCTATTTTGCCCTCTGGTTCTAAAATATCAGGGCCCAGTTTTCCTTGATAATTTCTTGAAAGATGATGTCTAGGTTCTTTTTTTGATCATGGCTTTCAGATAGGCCAATAATTTTTAAATTCTCTCTCCTGGATCTATTTTCCAGGTCAGTTGTTTTTCCAATGAGATATTTCACATTGTTTTCTAATTTTTCATTCTTTTGGATTTGTTCTACTGTGTCGTGATTTCTTATGAAGTCACTGTCTTCCAATTGCTCTATTCTAATTTTTTTTTTTTGGCTAGGCAATTGGGTTAAGTGACTTGCCCAGGGTCACACAGCTAGTAAGTGTTATATGTCTAAGGCAGGATTTGAACTCAGGTCCTCCTGAATCCAGAGCCGGTGCTTTATCCACTGCACCACCTAGCTGCCCCTCTATTCTAATTTTTAAGGAAGTATTTTCTTCAGTAAGCTTTTGGACTTCCTTTTCCATTTGGCCAATTTTGCTTTATAGGGCATTCTTCTCCTCACTGGCTTTTTGGACCTCTTTTGCCATTTGGGTTGGGCTATTTTTTAAGGTGTTATTTTCTTCAGTATTTTTTGGGGTCTCCTTTAGCAAGCTGTTGATTTGTTTTTCATGATTTTCTTGCATCGCTCTCATTTCTCTTCCCAGTTTTTCCTCTACTTCTCTTACTTGCTTCTCAAAATCCCTTTTGAGCTCTTCCAGGGCCTGGAACAGATTCATATTTTTCTTGGAGGCTTTGGATGTAGGGGCTTTGACTTTGTTATCTTCTTCTGGTTGTATGTTTTGATCTTCTTTGTCACCAAAGTAAGATAATATAGTCTGACTCTTTTTGCAAGGTTTGCTCATGATCCCAGCCAACTATTTGAGTTTTAAACTCTTTGTTAAGGTAAAAGTCTGCTTCCAATGTGGAGAATGTACTGTCCCAAGCTTCGGGGGTTTGTATAGCTGTTTTCAGAGATACTTGTAGGGACCTGTAAATTTTCAGTTCTTCCAAGGTGGTATGATAAGGGTCGAGGTGTTTACTCTTTTCCTGGCCTGTGCTCTGGTCTTTGAGTGACTGGCCACAAGCAGTCTTTTCTCTCTTGGAACTGTGAGGAAGGTTTCCTCTCCACTGCCACTACAAGCTCCACTGTGCCAGCGCTCCTCCTCACCCCAGGACCACCACCCAGAACTGTGACCCTGATCCAAGCATGGGCAAAGCAAGAGATTCCTGCCTCAGCACCAGCAAAGAGATCCCTGCAGTCCCTCTCTGATCAGCCACTTGATTCCCTCTCAGTCAGTGGGACGGAAGCTCAGGACGCAGCTACCGTCCCCGGTGCCCATGCTCTGCGCTCTGGAACTGGCTCTGACCTAACTCTTCTCTCACTGAAAAAACAGACTTTTCCCACTGACCTTCTAAGTTGTCTTTGGCGTTCGTGGATCCAGGAGTCTGGGAACCGCCATAGCTGCCTGTGATTCGTTCCTCTGAGACCTGCTCCAGGTTCGCTCGCTCTGCGCGCCCATGCTGAACTGAGCTCCTCTCCCCGCCCAGTGCAATACGCCTTTCTGATCAACCATCCAGGCTGTCTTGGGCTGGAAATTTGTTTTACTCTGTCTTTTTGTGGGTTCTGCTGCTTTAGAATTTGTTTAGAGCCATTTTTTATGAGTATTTGGAGGGGTTTGGGGGAGAGCTCAAGCAAATCACTGCTTTCACTCCACCATCTTGGCTGTGCCTGATCATTAGTAATTTTGGACAGAGCAGTTTAGGTAGAAGGATGAAATTGTAAATAGGAACTTTGGGAATATAGAGGTATGGTGTCAAGTTACACACGACAGTCAAACATTCCTTAGTTTGAAAGATAAGTTTTATAGATTTTTTCTTTGAGAATTACATTGGAGGATTCTGGAAAGATGGTGGAGTAGGTCAGAAAATTCCAAGCTCTCCGGATTTCCCCCACAGAGAAGACAAACTAGCACCTCAGTGTGAGCATAGAGCAGTAAAAGTAAACAAGAGTTTGGGTACAACAGTGGTCCTCCTGAGACTATTGGGAAAACATCCGAAGAAAAATCCCAGTTACAAGGTTTGGTCCTTGTGAAGAGTAAATACCTCCAAGCTAGTTCCACTGAAACAGCAAGCAGTGAACCCTGGGGCTTGCTAGATAGGGGTAGCCTCAGCCTCAGCCCCAGCCACAGGAACTTTCACCTCCTGGACAGTGTAGGAAGTCTGGCAGCTGAGCTGAGGAAAATTAAAGGAACCTCTGCTGATAAGGGATACCAGGCCCTGTTGTGCTGCTGAGATCAGCCTTGGTTGAGAAGATACTAGCACACACCTGGTAAATACAGAAGCAGAGTACAGTCTACTATTGGCTGTGGAAAGCCTTTCCTAAAGCACAGATCTATGTTATCCCTAATCTCCTGCTCAATAAATTCTAATGGCTTACAGGAGGGTGGAGTTCTTCATTTCTGTTCAAAGTCAGAGGGGAGAAGAGAAGAAAAATTTGAGGCCAGAGGCACTATCCCCCATATCCCAGGACTAGATGTGATTATAATAGCAAACTGCTATAAATTTTTTTTAAAATGAGCAGGCAAAGGAGACAGAATTCAACCATAGGAAGTGACTATGGGAATAGAGAAGACTGTGATTCTTCTTCAGAGGAGGATATTGAAGCACAGAAAGTCTTTCCTACCCCAAAGAGTAATGTCAAATGGTAACCTGCCTAAAAAGAATTCATAGAAGAACTTTAAAAAGACTTTAAAAATAAAATGAGAGAGATTGAGGAAAAATTTAAAAAAGAAGAAAAAACCAAGAAGATTATGAAAAGAAAGTCAACCAACTGAAAAAAGGAGATCCAGAATCTTAAGGAGGAAAACAATTCCTTGAAAATTAGAATTGGGCAAGGGGAAGCCAGCAAAGTTAAAAGAGACTAAGAAATAACAAAACAAAATATAAAGAATGAAAAAATAGAAGAAAAAGTGAAACATCTCATAAGAAAAACAACTGAACTGGAAAACAGATCAAGAAGAGAAAACATAAGAATAATGAAAGCCATGATCAAAAAAAGAATCTTGATACAATAATACAAGAAATAATTAAAGAAAATTGTCCCAAAGTGTTAGAACAAAAGGGGAAAGTAGAAATAGAAAAAAATCCACCAATCATGACCTGAAAGAGATCCTATGAGGAAAATCCACAGGAATATCATAGCTGGATTCTAAAACCTCCAGCTCAAGTAGAAAATATTATGAGCGACAAGAAAAAAACAATTCAAATATGGCAGAGCCACACTTAGGAAAACATAAGACCTGGCAGCAGCTACACTAAAATTCCCACAGGTCTTGGAACACTTTATATTGAAGAGCAAAACAGCTGAGGTTGTGGCCAAAAATATCATACCCTCCAAAGTTAAGCATAATCCAGGATGGAAAAAAAAATAGACATTTAATGAATTGCCAGACTTTCAGGATTTTGTTTCAAAAAGACCTGAAATCAATAGGAAATTGGACGTACAAGATCCAAGAGAAATATAAGGTAAACATCAAAGACTAATTACTAGGGACTCAATAAGGACAGAGCGTTTACTTTTCATACAAGGAAATGTAAATTGTATGTCTAAGACTGTTATTAGTAATTGGGTAGTTCAAAAGAAAGAATGAGGTAGAGCTAAGTATGATGTGATACTAAAAAGTAAGCCATTTAGAAAAAGGTAAAAAGAGTAATTATCTTACATGAATGAGGTACAAAAGGAAGAACTGACACAGAGGAATTAGATGAGGGAAAAAGGCTGGTAGCTCTGGAATCCTACTCTCATTGGGAATGAATTAAAGAGGAAATTACATATATATATATATATATATATATACATCTAGAAGGGTACAGAAGTCTTCTAAATTCAGAAAGAAATAAAAGGTTAAGGAGATGGGGGGGAAGAGAAAAAGGGAGAGATCTCTGGTGGAGGGGTAGGTTAAGTAATAGGAAGTCAAGGTAGTGGATAGAAGTAAAGTAGAAGATTCAGAAGGAATAGGAAATAGGAGATACATACAAACATAAAATAAAGGTCTGGAGTAGAATTTGTTAGGGGAAAAAAAAACAGGAGTAGTAATCATGATCTCAGACAAAGTTAAAACTAAAATGGATTTAATCAAAAGAGATAAAAAGGGAAACTATACTGTATGTCAGCCATATTAATATTGTTTTAGCCAATTAAAATAACCAGACAGTATAAGGTTGGAATATTTCTGTGGTATAGGAAACAATGAGTTGGTGGACTTAGAAAAATATAGAAAATCTTGGACCTATGAAGGAAGATGTTATCCACCCTCAGAGAAACAGAAGATAAACTAGTACTGTCTTACATAGATGCATATGAATGTATATGTCTATATATGAGTATGATTATAGATAACTAAGTATATGTATAAGTATGTGTGTATGCATATGTATGTATGTGTATATGTGTGCATATATGTGTTTATGAATATGTTTGTATGTTTGTACATATTATATGTGTGTGTGTATCTGCACTTAACTGTAGCCTTCTTTGGGGAGGAAAAGAGAAAGGGGGAAAAAAGAATAAAGTAAAAAGTGCACAGCACAGAACAAAAGAAAACCTACAAGGAAGCAAAAGATGGATAGCTTAGGCCACAATGTATAATATTTATTATATAGGCTTTCTTGAAATGGAAATTTATTGCTGTGTATTTTGAATCCTCTGTGCACATGGCAATGCTTTTTTTCTTTTCTTATTTTGTATTTAAGTTTTAGTATTTAAGTTTATAATGGGCTTTTTTTTTGCTTTTCTTATGGTATATTTAAGTTTTAGTTTTTACATTTAAAGTAAATTAATTTTTAAAAAAAGAAAAAATAAAATTACATTGATGTTTGGTTTCGAATGGTTTCTCTAAAACATATTTTGCATGTATTCTTTATATTTTCTGTTATATTTCTAGTAATGTGTCACAAAAAAAGCCAACCAAATTAAACTAGAGGTGTGGTAGAAGTTGAGATAATTTTAGACTATAACTCAAAAGAGCTTACTTCGTATCTTTAATGTCTTTTTCTTTAGAACATAAAATATCAAAAATGTTATAAATTCAGAGACTGGCCCAGAGTATCTGTTACCATTATGATAAAAATGTCCTTTGGAGTCATTCAGCCCCTGTAATTTGAGACAGAAATTTAATTAAGGAATGGTTTGTAATGAAATCCCAAAATTGGAATAAGCAAAGGTTTAAAAAGTACCAGAGATTCCAGTCTGTGTGTGTCTGTTTCTGTCTGTTTTCAGAAATCGATGGTAACATTGTACAAATGTCTATAGTCTACATTTCTGAAAAAAACCTAGTTGAAGTAATGGTGCTTATCAATACTTCACAAAGTGAAAGATGCAGATTGGAAATATTTTCTCTGCCTGAAGCAATCTTAACAGGTAAGAAAGGAGCAAGTAATTCAGTAATATATGGATTACATACACGTTACTGCTATCACCTTACAGTTTATTTCAGGAAATGCAAATATTTTAAGGAAAAGAGTAAGAAAAAGAGAGAAGGAAAATTGTTCTTCTATGTGATACAACAGGAAGGTATTGCTTAACGAAGTAAGCATTATGCTATTTTGGCTTGGGGCAGATACAGATTGGAATAGTGGAAAGCACCCTAAAATTGGAATTGGAAGAACTGGGCTTGGCACTCACATTCTCTGTCATTCATGTCTATATCACCTTAGACAAATCACTTAACCATTATGAGCCTCAGAATCCTCACTTATAAATATAATAATTCTTATGTTATCATAAGTCTCAAAATCAGATAATACATGTAAAGTAGTATTATTTAAATATAAGTTATTATTATTCACTTTCTTCTGTCAGCCTGTTTTCCTTTTGAGTCTGATAGGAAAACTGGGCAGGATTGACACACCTTCTAAAATATTTGGTTATTTATTTTATAGTTTCAGAAATATTATAGTTAAATTCAAGTAATTGCTAGGCTAGTTACCTGTTAACTGGTAGGCCAGTTAGCTGTTAAAGAAAATTTTCTAACATGGAAAGATACGTGAAAATAAATTCCCCAAATTCCTTTAGTGTTGATATAAAAGTAAAGCTATGAATAGAAACATGTCTATATGGTTTATAGATAATATTCATACATAGAGTAACAGATATCTAAAACTTAAGAGAATGTTTTATACTTTTGCTTTAACTCTTTCTGTACACCCAGGAATTATTTTATTCCAGGTGACTATTGAACTATTGGAATATCTAAGCTATAGAAATTTCAGTAATTTTTACTCAGTATCACACAACTTGTTAATATCAGAGAAGAAAACAAAATATATGAATGATTTTAAAAGACTTAGATTTCATTCACCAACTAGTTCTACATAAGTGACATTTTAAAATATTTTTGTTTTTTATAAATAGGAGAGCACATATTTTCCATATTGGGTTTTAAAAGTTAAATTTGAAATACCAGTCAGTCAATCAGTAAACATTTGTTAAGTGCCTATTATGGGCTAAGTACTGTGTTAAACATAAACAACTAAAGTGATTCATTCTTTTCCCCAAATCTTATAGACCCTGACAACTGTTGTGATGAAAGAGGGAGGCTGAAGAATGACATCATTGAGAGGAGGCAATATAAAATAAATCATTCTCTAACCTCTGCTGTCTTGGATTTACACAATGAACATTTTTATGGCTATTGTAGTCATGTGCCATATATCTGTACCTACAGTATTCCTGAAAAGGTATTCTTCTATTGCCATTTTTATGCCAAAACATGGAACATTACATCATTTTCCTTAACCATTAAGATAAACAAATTGTGTAATTATGTTTCATTCTCTGGGCTGGTTCCAGGGAATTCTAGTCAATACATTCTTTATTTATCCTGAATTCAAGCCAACATCATTTGGAACCTATGTGGCAATAACATAGTCTTTATTAGTAACATTATTATCACTGTGAAGCCAAAGTTATTATATGAACATATGAAAAATAGGAGAGCATTTAACGATACTAAGGAAATAACTTTTATTATCTTTTTTCTCCTCCTTTTCCTCTTATTTTCCCTATACCCTAAGAAACAGAGGAAATATTTCTGTATATTTGTAATGGTGTGTGGCCCATGATCCAGAACTCTTAGGTACCAGATTCATCGTAAAGGGACCTGACCCAAAAGAAAGTGATCAGATTTATTGTTTCTTTCTGGCTTATTACCTCTGCCTCCAGTAGCTTTGGGAAATATTTTTTAAATAGAATTTTATTTTTCAAATTACATGTAAAGATAGTTTTCAACATTCATTTTTTACAAGATTTTGAGTTCCAAATTTTTCTTCCTCGCTTCCTTCCCTTCCCCTTCTCAAGATGGCAAACAATCTGATGTAGGTTAATCATGTTAAACATATGGAGAAATATCTTAAACAAAGCTTTTGGCTAATGTCTAGCATCTTTCCAAGACCCTGTAGAGCCTCTTTTTAAAAAGGTAGTAAATGTACAATACATTGATATTAGATTTAGGACAGTTACTTATTTTCTTTTCCCTAGAAAATGTTTAAAACACAAATGACCCACAAGTGAGTATAAATAAATGAAGAATATAAAAGAAGAACCCATTGTACTCATGAAACTCTCCTGAAATATTAATTGTCAAATAGATATTTCACATTCTCCTCACACACATGGTCTGAAAAAACTCTCCTGACCAGCCTGAGAAAGGCTTGGCTTTCAACAACTGTTCTGTTATAGCATCCTCCTGTTTATAGGACTCTTTTCCTGTGATAAGTAGGGCTATTTAGAGAGCTCCATACCACTGAACAACTGACATCTTATTCTGAAAATGCTCAAATTCTTAAACTTTTGAGTTTTGCCCAGGCTGAAAACATCCATTTCTTAGGATTGCTAGTTGCTGGTCTGCATTCAGAAGAATATAGAAAGAAAAGTAAGCCAGGGCCTCAGACTTGTCTAGGAGAGTGCATGTTTCCACTGTCATTTGCTTGTAGACAATATTGCTACATATGGAAAGGGAGGAGGAAGAGAGAATTCTCTTCTCTCTCCCCACCAATGCCCTGCTAGAAATCCAAGGGAGAGCAGTGGATCCCCAACAAAGCAGGAACCAAAGAGGTCGGAATGTGCCAGTTCTACCTCCAAGAAGTAGATGGGTGGAGGGAGAGCTTCTTCCTGACAGTCACCAATTACGCTTGATACAACCCACCCCAGTAATGGTGCCATACAAGTACCAATCAGGCATTCCATGTCACACCAAAATGCATGCCCCCACACTATGGAAATTTGGTATTTCTCTGATTATTTTTACAGAGAGATAAGAATGTCTTTCTTGATTGAGAATTGTCCATCAGCACCCTAAGGATCCTTTCTTCTCACTAAAACTTCATTGGATCTATTGAGAGGCCTCTTTCTAATTCAAACCAAATAGTAAAGGGAGAAAAAGGAGGGAGAAACTGTCTAGGATTGATTTTCAGGTTGGAAGTGAGTAGTGGGCAAAGTGCATTGTAGAACATATAAATGCCTGCATAACTTGGCAGTACTTTATATTTTGGACATTGTTTTGTATCACTTTCCCTCTAGTTCCTTAGTATAGGTTTTTAATCTCTATGTGCCTTGGATGAATTGAAGCAACAATGACTTCCTTACTTATGACTCAGAGAATTCAAATTCCATCTGAGGTCTGTTGGAGCCAGGAGACAGCTAGAGATAGAAGAAAATCTTTAGGGAAGGGACTTTGAAGGTCAGCTATGGATTCCAGGATATGTGTGTGTGTAGATGGCAGGAGTCATTTCTTCACAGTGTCAAACACACACCTTACAACTAATCCTGCTAGGTCAAAGGCTCAGAATAGACAATTTTCAGTAACAAATTGTATCTGGATCATAAGCAAAATTGTAAAACTAGCAAATTTTGCCCTTCTTATCCTTTCACATTCCTTTCTTCAGCTGTCTTTCTCTCTCTACCAGCAAAAGACTCTGGCCATTTAAAAGCTTCCAATTTCTGGGCCCCATCTAATTTTGTCTCTCTTGCTTTTTGCTGCACCTTTCATACCAGATTTCCAGAGAATATGCACTGAGCTATGCCATTTCATTTATCACATAAACTTACATGTACATACATATAAGTAGCATAAGTAGTATAAAAATGTCCATCTAGGGCTGTGCTGTCCTTATTGGTGAGAGTCATCTGTTGGTGGGAGTCCACTGTATCTATTCAGCGTTAGATTTGAATATGCTTTAACCTGAGGCAACTTATTCCTAGTCACTGTACCACATTATATGTACTCCATTCTGCCCTCCTCATTTGCTCTAAGAACAGTAAACAAATCAATACTACTTGTTTCTGGTAAAGGTGCCAACTGTGCTGTTGCTCCATTCACGATCCCTAAGGTTTTCCAGACTAAAACAATCTTCCCTGACAATAACTCCCTCTATTCGAATGTAAGCTTCTTGAGGGCAGAGACTGTTTCTCTTTTGTATCTCTAGGAGTTAGCATTGTACCTGGCAGTTAGACAGGCAGTAAGTTTTCTAAGCGCCAGGAATTGAGTCAGGATCTAGGGATAGAAAAAGGAGTAAAGGATAGTTCCTGCCATCAAGGAGCTACCGATATGATAGGGGAGAGAAGCAATCAATTATGTACAAACAAGCCAAATACAAGATAAAAAGAAAACAATTAACAGAGGGAAGGCACCAGAATTAAGAGGGTTTGGGAAAGACTTCCTGTAGAAGATGGGATTTTAGTTGGGACTTGAAGGCTGGGAATCCCGGAGGCAGAGATGAGGAGGGAGAGAATTCCAGGCTTTAGGGATAGCCAGAGAGAATGCCTGGAGCTGAGAGGTGGAAAGTCGTATTCATGGGAAAGAATAGAGGCCAGTGTCCCTGAATTGAAGAGGAGGTGGCAGTGAGGAGAGTGTAAGAAGAATGGGAGGTGGGAGGAGGGGGAGGGATACAAGGAAAGAGATTTGAATTCCAAACAGAGGATTTTGTATTTTATCCTACAGGTGATAGGGAGCCATTGCCATGTATTGAGTATGGGGAGAGGAGGGTGACGTGGTTGGACCTGCACTTTAGGAAAATCACTTTGGTGGAAAAGGAATAATGGAATGGAGTGGGGAGAGACCTGTGGCAGGCAGACCTGCCAACAATCTGGTGGAAGAGACAGGATGAAGTGTGATCATTTGTGTAGGTAATTTGCCCTGTTAAGGAATTGGGCTACCTCTTTACGTGAGACAGGTGAAGGAGGAGATAGTGTCAGAAGGCATCTGAGTGATATGAGATGAAAAAGAGGGGAGAAGGAGGAAACCACAATGTGCACAGTAAGTGCTTAATAAGTGGTTTTTCATTCATTTATTCCACTTTGGAAGGGCCTCCAATATTGTCTGTTCCCCATCCCTTACTGCCCTCACCCAAAAAAAGACCCAAACCATTTTAAGTATTAATGTCAAGCTCTATCTGGAGATAGGAGAGAGGGTCATTCTGAATACATATTTATGCTATTGTAACTCTCAGCAGTTACAAAGGGGAAGGAGATAACATTTTCATCTTAAAAGAGGTACTTTTTAATTCAAATGCATTTGAAATTAGAGAAATGTATAAGGAGAATTTTTTTCCAAGTTGCTCATAACTTCACAAGTGGGCCTTCTGAAAGTTTGCTAACTCCTGCTTTAGATGTTAAATTTTAATCTTATTTTGAGTAATAATTGATTTTATAATATAATTTGATCTATGTTAGGCAGGGTCTACAGAAGGTCTTATATTGCTATTTACAAAAGCCTACCAGATTAGTTGCTTTGTGATCAATTTGATTGCTTTTGATTCTGTTAACAGATACTTCAATTAATCAAGTAGTATTCAAAATGGGCCTTCATTTTTATTTAGGAGTCTGGTGTTGAAGAACAGGCAGGAGATAAACCTTAAGCACTGACTTACCAAAATGATTTTGTCTGAAAAATATACCTTAAAGCATGACACAAATTTTTGAGTACCCAGATGGAAATAACGTTGAAAAAAAGGGATGGACCCTATTTATTAGGCCATTGAGCCATGTGTACTTGCTTATTTCATATAGTAATGTTGGGTGTTGTTTTATTTTTTAATTTGTTGTTGTTTGGTTGTCCAATCAGGTCCAACTCTGTGATCCATGGACCATATCATGCTAATACTCTCCATGGGATTTTTTTTTTTGGGGGGGCAAAGATCCTGGAGTGGTTTGCCATTTCATTCTCCAGTGGATTAAGGCAAACAGAGGTTAAGTGGCTTGCCCAGGATCACATGGCCAGTAAGGGTCTGAAGATGTAATTTAAATTCAGGTCTTCCTGACTCCAGGCCTAAGGCTCTATCCACTGAGCCACCTAGCTGCTTCCTTTTTTTTTTTTAATACCAATGATCAAACTGTCAACAAGATTATGTGGTTTTTTTCTTATAAGCTATAAGAATTATTTCCATTATCTTAAATATAGCTTGATATTTTCTTTTGTGTTTATAAGGATAGCGAAGTTGTAGTTCTCAAACCAGAGATCAAAATGCAAAGCAGACATTTTGGAACTGGAATATTGTGCCTATCATCTCATGGCAAGTGGCTAGCATCAACAGCCAAAGATGGAATACTGAGTATCCGTGATGTTAATAATTTGGTAAGTATTGTTATCAGCATAAAGCTCTTAATATAAGGTCTGAGGAAAATCAGTATAGAAAGTCTAAGAAGCAAATACCTTTAGGGAGTTTAAAAAGGAGGGGGGGAGAAATAAAGCTTTTATAACCTCCTAAACTTTGGTTTGTACCTTGTTAATGGATTTTTAATTTTCTTCATTTCTTTCTATTCACAGGCAACATAATGATTTTTTAAAATTCAATTTTATTTTATTTTCTAGTTCTCTCCCTCTTATCTTCCTCATTGAGGAAGTAAGAAAAACAACACCTGTTAAAAATATGTATAGTTAAGCAAAACAAATTCTCACGTTAGCCATGTCAAAAAAATTTGTATACTTTAATGAGTTTCATTGAGTTTATCACTCCTCCCTCTGGAAATGGGTAGCATGTTTAATTATCAGTCCCCTATAGTTATAATTAGTCATTGTGTTAATTAGAATTTCTAAATCTTTTGTAGATATTTATCTTTACAATATTGTAATGTACAAATTGTTTTCCTGGTTCCTAGGTTTCTATATCAATAACAAAATTAGCATAAATCATGATTATCTCAATAGATGCAGAAAAAGCTTTTTAACAAAATACAGGACCCATTTCTACTAAAAACACTACAGAGCATAGGAATAAATGGAGTTTTCCTTAAAATGATAACTAGTATCTATCTAACACCAACAGCAAGCATTATATGTAATGGGGATAATCTAGAAGCTTTCTCAATAAGGTTGCCCATTATCACCACTATTATTCAATATTGTACTAGAAATGTTAGCTTTAGCAATGAGAAGAAAGAGAAATTGAAGGAATTAGAAGGGGCAACAAGGAAACAAAACTATTGCTCTTTGCAGATAATATAATGGTCTACTTAGAGAATCAACTAAAATACTACTTGAAATAGTTAACAACTTTAGCAAAGTTGCAGGATATAAAATGAACTCATATAAATCATCAGCATTTCTACATATCACCAACAAATTCCAGCACAAGAGAGAGAAATTCCATTTAAAATAACTGTAGATAATATAACAAAATAACCGTAGACAATATTTGGTAGTCTACCTGCCAAGACAAACCCACATGAACACAATTACAAAACACTTTTCACACAAATAAAGTCAAATCTAAACAATTGGAAAAATATTAGTTGCTCATGGGTACGCCAAGCTGATGTAATAAAAATGACAATTCTACCTAAATTAATTTACTCTTTCAGTGCCATGCCAATCAAACTACAAAAAAAAATTATACAGCTTTTATATAGCTAGAAAAAATAATAGCAAAATTCATCTGGAAGAACAAAAGGTTAAGAATCTGAAGGGAATTAATGAAAAAAAAATGCAAAGGAAGGAGGCCTAGCTTTACCAGATCTAAAACTATATTATAAAGTAGCAACCATCAAAACTACTTGATGTTGGCTAAGAAATAGAATGGTGGATCAGTGGAATAGGTTATGTACACAAGACACAGTAGTAAATGACTATAGTAATCTACTGTTTGATAAATCCAAAGATTCCAGCTTCTGGAATAAGAACTCACTATTTGACAAAAGCTGCTGGGAAAACTGGAAAAAAGAGTATGGCAGAAACTAGGCAGAGGCCAACACCTCACACTGTATACCAACATTAGGTCTAAATAGATACATGATTTAGACGTAAAGGATGATACCATGAGTAAATTAGGAGAGCAAGGAATAGTTTATCTGTCAGATCTATGGAAAAGAGAAGAATTTATGACCAAGCAAGAGATAGAGGACATTATGAAATGCAAAATTAAGAAGTTTTTGCACAAACAAAACCAATGCAATCAAGATTAGAAGGCAAGCAGAAAGCTGGGAAACAATTTTTACAGTCAGTGTTTCTGACAAAGGCCTCATTTCTAAAATATATAGCGAACTCAGTCAAACTTATAAGAATAAAAGTCATTCCCCAGTTGATAAATGGTCAAAGGATATGAACAGGCAGTTTTCAGATGAAGAAATTAAACTTATCTATAGTCATGTGAAAAAAAATGCTCCAAATCACTATTGATTAGAGAAATGCAAATCAAAACAGCTCTGAGGTACCACATTATACCTATCAGATTGGCTAATATGACAGAAAAGGAAAATGATAAATATTGGAGAAGATGGGGGAATATTGGGGGAAATTGAAAAACTAATGCATTATTGGTAGAGTTGTGAAGTGAGCCAACTGTTGTGGAGATCAATTTGGAACTATTCCCAGAGGGCAACCAAACTGTGAATACCCTTTGATCCAGTAACACCACTAACTAGGTCTATATCCCAAAGAAGTCATAAAAGTGGGAAAAGGACCCACATATACAAAAATATTTATAGCAGCTTTTTTTGTGGTGGCAAAGAATTAGAAATTAAGGGGATGCCCATCAATTGGGGAATGGCTGAACATTATGAATGTATATGGTATATGGATGTAATGGAATGTTATTGTGCTCTAAGAAATGATGAGCAGGCAGATTTCAGATAAATTTGGAAAGAATTAGATGAACTGATGCAGATTTGAAAGATTTGAAAGTTTGTTACTGAACCCAAGGAGTAGATGGGGTCACCAAGGGAGAGTATATACAGAGATAAAACAATACAAGACAAGAGAAGAGGAGAGGAGAAAGAGGGAAGAGAAAGAGAAGGAGAAGAGGGGAGGGCAATGGATGTAAACCTCATTCTTCTGATTCCAAGACCCCATTCTTTCTATTACATCATGTTGCTATTCTTTTTGTCAATTTGCTTTAATAAAGAGAGCCCTGAGTTGAGAGATTGGGGTCCTGAGCTTTAGTTCTAGTTCTTTTATTAATGTTGTGTATTACTTTATTATTTTTTTTCTTTTTTGGTGAGGCATTCAGGATTAAGCAACTTGCTCAGGGTCACACAGCTTCACAGCTATTAAGTGTCAAGTGTGTGAGGCCGAATTTGAATTCAGGTCCTCCTGACTCCAAGGCTGGAGCTGTATCCACTGCTCCACCTAGCATCCCAATGTTGTATAACTTTAAATCAGTTACTTAAACTTCTTCATGCCTCAGTTTTTTCCATGTATGCTTTGAGAATAATAACTTCTTTCCCTTCCAATGCCACAGTCATGTTGTAAAAGTAATCAAAATAGTAAGTATGAAAGATTTTTGAACTATTGGCAGGTTAATTGCTTAATATTTCTAAATCACTGTTAATATAACAAAATTGTTAGGAGCAACTCGTGCCAAAGACTCAACTTTAAGCTTCTATATCCCCCAAACTTAAGAATCTAGGTTTTTACTATGATCTGTATTTGACTGAATAGTCCATGGTAACAGGAGAAAAATAAATGTGCACATCATTCCATTAATAAAACATACAGTGAAATAGAAATATTTATGTTTTTTAATGTTATTTCTTTAACCATTCAGGAAACATTTACTCAGATTCACTGCCATTCTTACCAGGGACAAGGAATTCAATCACTGGCATTTTCACTCGATGGCCATTCCATACTAGTGAATGGTAGGGAAGATGGTGTCCTTGTTTGTCTGAAATGGAAGTAAGTAAAGGCTGAGAAAAGATTATTTGTACAATACTTAAACTCCCAATTGTTTGTGGTGATGGATAGGAGCAATGGCATAGATTGTTCCCCAAAAGATAATTCAGAACAGAAGCTATTCAAAACTAAAGGAGTCATTCTTATTTGAGCAGTTCAATTCAACAAAAATTTTAAAGTGTCTACTATGTATAAAACACAATGTTAGTCCCTGGATTTCTGTTTGTAATTGGCCCATTATTAAAATTAGTTTTCATTGTTTATGAATAAACCATTTGATGGTGTGGGAAGAAGGAGAAGCAATTCCATGATCTCAATTTTGTTGTGGATATCCTTTTCACTTGAGTCTCTTGTCCTCTTATTCTTTCACTAATCATGACTTGCCAAGCCCCATCCTTGTATAATAGTGACTATCCTACACTTCCTGAAGGCCAGATATGTTACATTTTCACCCTTCCCTCCCTGAGGGGGGTTGGGAGAGTCTCGTCTCTTGCCATTGACTCCAGTCCACATCAATGATGTCTCTCCAATTTTAGGGGTCCACTGAATCCCAATTCCATTTAACCACAAATTAACAGTCATATTAGCTTTCATATAATAAGAACAAACATACAAATATCCCCCTCCCCCCAAAAAAGAACTTGTGTTTGTGTGGGGAGGTGTAATCACTTTGCACCATCTCAATTTCTAGGGAGAGGATTAGGTTCACAGTTTAGCTCAGTTCCTAAATACCATGTTCAAACCAAGTTCTAAGTTAAAAAAAAAGATGCTTGGTCTTGAGTCCCAGGCATTCTGGTTTTTCAGGGCTTTTTTTCTGGGCTGGCTGTAACATCTTGTCTGGAATCCTGCCTCCAAAGTCACCATGGCTTGAATCTGGGTTTGGTGGGAATTCTCTACCACCTGCACCTAAAACTAAAAGGGACGAACAGAACAAAATCCTGAACTTGATTTTTGGGCCAGAAGGTGTAAAAGGGAAAAGGAAGAGAAGGTAGTCTTTCCTCTCACCCACTTCAGCTCATGATGTCTGTGGGTGGACAGGAACTTCACCCTTTCTGGATGTAGCTGGAAAGAGAGACTACCATCACAGTTCTTAAAGGTGCATCCTGTTCTGGTGATATAGCCAATCAAGAATCTGTTTCCACTCATGTAGTAGAGGGACACATAATGTCTTCTCCCAGAAGCTAGCTCCTAGCTTCTCTGATGTTATGTTTAAAAATTAAGGTAAACTGACAGTGGTCTGAGCATGATCAATTTCCTAGTTAAGCTAGCAATAAATTGGGTCAATGGCCTCTCTCAATTACCAAAGACTTCAAGGTAGGGCTCACCAGGCTTCATCTAATGTTGGAAGGGACAGAGTTGGATAGGTGGAGAAGATAGTGCAGTTGGTTACAGAGTAAACAGCATCATGATTGGTGGGAAATTGGGAATGAGAGACAAGCAACAACCCCCACCCTCCTTCCTTCCTGTGACTAAAAACTGTTCTTTGTTTGAGTCCATCTGCAGGGTTAGAGATAGTGGACTGGATTTCTTTGGATAACAAACCAGAAATCCTTGAAGGATAAATTGGTGGTGTAGAGACACTAGACCAGATTGACTCCCTAGTATCCAACTACATCCCTCAAGGATGAGAGATTTCCTTGAGGCAAGAATAGAACAGTGATTAGCAGGAGAACTGAACTTCTAAACTTAGCTCATTGGTAAAGAGGTAAAGAAATGTGGCTTGAACAGTAATACAGAATAGAATCAATTTAATTTCTTCACTGATGTGGGTGCCCCCATGATAAGTGATCTGGGCGTGAACAAAGTAAAGCCATGTTATGCAGTGACTAAGATTGTTAAACTGAACCTTTCTCAGCATTATGAGGGTCTAAGATATTAACAGAGGCCTCAGGATGGATAATGCTGTCCACATCCAAAGAAAGAACTATGGAAGTCGAATCGCTCTCACTTATTTTTACCTTCTGTTGAGTTTTGTTTCATCTTTCTGATGGTTCCTCCTATTGGTTTTAATTTTTACTTACAACTTCACTAATGTGAAAATATGTTTAATGGGTATGTAAATGTAAAGCCTATATCAGATTGTGAGCTGTCTTGGGGAGGGTGGGGGGGAGGAAAAGGGAGAAAAATTTTCAACTCAAAAGCATATGGAAAAAATAAAAAAATTTAAATTAAAAAAAATATATATAAATCAGTCCTAGGCCATGGAAAAGCTTAAAAAGGATTTTGAGAAGCAAGTAAGAGAAGTAGAGGAAAAACTAGGAAGAGAAATGAGGGTGATGCAAGAAAATCATGAAAAGTCAACAGCTTGCTAAAGGAGACCAAAAAAAAAAAAATACTGAAGAAAATAACACCTTAAAAAATAAACTAACCCAAATGGCAAAAGAGGTCCAAAAAACCAATAAGGAGAAGCATGACTTAAAAAGCAGAATTGGCCAAATGGAAAAGGAGGTCCAAAAGCTCACTGAAGAAAATAATTCCTTAAAAATTAGAATGGAGCAAATGGAAGCTAATGACTCTTTGAGAAATCAGGAAATTATAAAACAAAAGAATGAAAAAATAGAAGACAATGTGAAATATCTCATTGGAAAAACAACTGACCTGGAAAATAGATCCAGGAGAGAGAACTTAAAAATTATTGAAACTAGCTGAAAGCCATGATCAAAAAAAGAACCTAGACATCATCTTTCAAGAAATTATCAAGGAACATTGCCCTGATATTCTAGAGCCAGAGGGTAATATAGAAATTGAAAGAATCCAGAGATTAACTCCTGAAAGAGATCCCAAAAGGAAGACTCCTAGGAATATTATAGCCAAATTTCACAGTTCTCAGGTCAAGGAGAAAACATTGCAAGTAGCCAGAAAGAAATACTTCAAGTATTGTGGAAACACAATCAGGATAACACAAGATTTAGCAGCTTCTACATTAAGGGATGGAAGGGCTTGGAATATGATATTCCAAGGTCAAAGGAGCTATGATTAAAACCAAGAATCACCTACCCGGCAAAACTGAGTATAATCTTTCAGGGGAAAAATTTGACATTCAATTAAATAGAGGACTTTCAAGCATTCTTGATGAAAAGACCAGAGCTGAATAGAAAATTTGACTTTCAAATACAAGACTCAAGAGAAGCATGAAAAGGTAAAAAGGGAAAGAGAAATCATAAGAGACTTATTAAAGTTGAACTGTTTACATTCCCCCATGAAAAGATGGTATTTGTAAGTCATGAAACCATCCTCAGTATTAGGGTAGTTAGAAGGAATACACACACACACACACACACACACACACACACACACACACACAGAGGGCATAGGGTGAATTGAATATTAGGAGATGGTATGTAAAAAATAAAATTAAAGGGTGGGAGAATTGTACTAGGAGGAAGAGAAAGGGAGAGCTAGAATGGAGTAAATTATCTCACATAAAAGAGGCAAGAAAAAGCCTTTACAGTGGAGAGGAAGAGGGAGGAGGTGAGAGGGAATGAATGACTCTTACTCTCATCGGATTTGGCTTAAGGAGGGAATAACATGAACACTCAATTGGGTATGGAAATCTATCTTCCCCTACAGGAAAATAGGGGGGAAGGGGAAAAGGGAGAGGGGATGATAGAAGGGAGGGCACATTGAGGGAGGGGGTAATCAGAAGCAAACAATTTTGAGGAGGGACAGGGCTAAAGGAGAAAATAGAATAAATGGGAGAGTAGGAAAGGATGGAGGGATTTATAGTTAGTCTTTCACAACATGACTGTTATGGAAGTGTTTTGCATTACTACACATGTATAACCTGTATTGAATTACTTGTCTTCTCAATGAGGGTGAGTGGGGAGGAAGGAAAGGAAAGAGTTCGGAACTCAAAGTTTTGAAAGTAAGTGTTAAAAATTGTTTTTACATGAAACTGGGAAATAAGATATACAGGCAATGGGGTATAGAAATCTATCGTGCCCTACAGGAGAATAGAAGGGGAAAGGGAATAGAAGATAATGTGGGGTGATAGATGGGAAAGCAGATTTGGGGAAGAGGTATTCAGAATCCATGGCGTCTTGGGGTGGGAGGAGGGGAAAGATGGGGAGAAAATTTGGAACTCAAAATCTTGTGGAAGTGAATGTTGAAAACTAAAAATAATTAATTTTTAAAAATATATAAAAAAAGAGAAAAAAAGAAAATAGAGAAGATGCAAAGGACCCTCTCTGATCAGTATAACTCTCAAAAAAAAAAGATGTACCCCCAAAAAGGAAAACTACCAAAACCCACCAAAATAATTTAAAAATAGATCAAAAAAATGAACAAACCAAAGAATAACTCCAATACTATAAAAATATTATGGATTAAAAGAAGCAGAGATAAAATTGCCAGAAAATATACCAAAACAAATTGTCAATAACATCCATTACAAAATTAGAGAGAGGAGCAATACACCAGGAAACAGTTCATTACTTAGAGCTCTTTGGATAATTGTAAAAATAGCCAGGTCACGTGGTGAAGTAGTATATTCTTTTATTCAGAACCAGAAGTTGTTTGCCATAGAGGATACTTTGCTATAAAATGTATTATCTGGACATTGACTCAGAGTGCATTAGTGCCAGAAAAACTAGCATTATCTGCCCATTTGTCCTGACCTTCCATTCTGTGGAAAAGTTAAGAAAGGTGATGAAAGCTAAAATGAATGTAGTTCATCTAAATTTCTCCCATGAAAGTCATTAGTATCAGGCAGAAACCATTACAACAGGGCAAAAATACACAGAAAGCTTTGTTTCTAATCACATCCTTTACTGGCCTGTTGCTATAGCACTTGGCGCCAAGGGACCAGAGATCCAAACTACATTAATTTGGGGTAGTGGCAATTTAAGTGAAGTAAGATAGCACTCTCAAAATCACTTGAGATGACACCTGTATGGGAAAGTATGAGAAGAGCATTATGTGAGCAAACTACATAAAACATTTTCAAGGTGGTGGAAATTGGCAGCAAAAATATGTCATTGTGACTGATGTGGAACATGTTGGCA